TTTCTATCTCATGCAGAGTCTTTATCATGGAGTATAATGTCTCCTGCCTGTTGTTACCTTCTCTGTTATCATCTACTTCTACTCTCCCACTGTCATCTCCAGGAGTGCTGAAAGCTGATGACCTGATTGAACTCCTACCTCAATATTCATTAAAATGTTCTATTATTTTATGTTAATGATTACTCATTTATCCAGGTCATTGACATTGGCTCAAAATTCAGACAGTGTGACTCCTATCTGCAGTCACAAATTAGAAGTCTTTAACTTCTATAATCAAATCTCCATGTAAGTCTAGGTGATTTAATCTATACTGATAAAAGGGTAATATGCTAATTAGGGTGGATGTCTTCTGGACCTCTTTCTGGACAAAGCTGCAGTGGCTGCGAGGGCTGAGGTACAGCTGCGAAGGGCCCACACTCAGGCTCTCAGTGGCAGCAGCAGCTGGGTCATGGGAGCGGTGCCTTCCCCTGATCTGCCAATTTGCCTCCCGCAGAGGGAGGCCAGACTGCAGCTTAGGCCAAGGTCTGAGGTGGTTAGGGTCAATCAGGCCAGTAGGAGGGCAAGTTAGGGTCAATCAGACTGACAGGGGGGCAAGACAGGGTTGAGCAGGCTGGCAGGGGGCAAGGTAGGGGCAATCAGGCTGACAGAGGGGCAAGTTAGGGGTGATCAGGCCAGCAGGCAGAGGCAGTTAGGGACGATCAGGCAGGCAGGTGAGTGGTTAGGAACCAGAGGACCTGGAGCGAGAGGCCTGATCCCACAGGGGATGCCCTAAACTGGCAGTCAGACATCCCTTGAAGGGTCCCAGATTGGAGAGGGTGCAGGCTGGGCTGAGGGACCCCACTCCCATGCACTAATTTCATGCACCAGGCCTCTAGTAGTTATATAAAAGGCAGAATGATTTGGATACCCCGAAATCTAATAAGTATAGGTTTTCCTTTTAATTTATCATGGCCTCTCAAACTGCTGTATACAGTAGAGTTATTATACAAAGATGTGTAGAAAATTCATGATCATTCTATTTGTAGAATTATTTAAGAGATTTTCTAGGATTATTCTGTTTCCTTGCTCTGTGCTTTTATAGGCTCATACCAGTGGTCGGCAAACTCATTAGTCAACAGAGTGGCAAACCATGCCTCGCATGTGGCTCTCGAGCTGAGCAGCAGTTTGCCGACCACTGACTGATACTAAATAGCAAAGTTAATGATTTTGTTTTTGTAATGAAAACTTGTCTTTACTCTCTTCCATACCTATATGTACTGCATATACTTATATATACTGTTAACCAAAGAAGAGGTTCAGGCTGTAAGAAAGAACAAAAGGCAATTTATATGAGCAAAAGGATTGCTGAGATGCAAATTCAGCTAGCAACCCAAAACGCTCTCTGAATAGAACAAAGAAAGGATTTATAAAGGCAAAACCACAGAATGTAACTAAAATGAAGGATTGCATTCTAGTTTAACAGGATTGATTAGTTCCAATATGCAAAGTTATTCTCATGCCATTTTCTTTTCTTCGTTATCAATACTATATGCACATTATGTCTAAATATATTTATTTTGTAAATATATTTACATATATAAAACATTCCTTTTTAAAAAAATATATTTAATTGATTTTTTACAGAGAGGAAGGGAGAGGGACAGAGAGCTAGAAACATCGATGAGAGAGAAACATCGACCAGCCGCCTTCTGCACACCCCCCACCGGGGATGAGCCCACAACCAGTGTAAATGCCCCTGACTGGAATCGAACCTGGGACCCTTGAGTCCGCAGGCCGACGCTCTATCCACTGAGCCAAACCGGTTTCCACTGAGCCCTCACAAACTTTTAATAATTTTTAGCGTTTACTAAAAATTTTTGCCTAACCTTGGCCAGGTGGCTCATTTGGTTGGAGCATCATCCCGTTCACCAAAAGTTGCAGGTTCGATCCGTGTGGGAGGCAATCAATCAATTGATGTTTCTCTCTCTCTGTCTCAAAATAGTTGGCCCATGTTAATCTTTGAATTTGACATGCTTGGCATACACTATTCTCTGATAAGTATGGAAGAAAGAGTAGGAGGAATAAAGTTTCCCTAAGAAAGTGATCTTTGTGTTAAGGATGATAAGAAGAGTAAGCGCCATAGAGGTACAGAGAGTAGCACTCCATGTGGAGAGAAAAATAGAAACAAAGGTTCCAGAGAATGATTTTTTTTTTTTTTTTTTAAGGAAACTGCTTGTGATTTTTAGTATGGTGAAGTGGTACTGGAGAAGTAGATAAAATAAGCCATGTGCTAAATTAGGCAAGATTAAGGAGTTTGTGGTCTGTTAAAGGTCTCAGTAAACTGTTGTCAACATAAGAAGCTTTCAAACCTGCAGAGAATTTTTATGAGTTTATTTGAGCCAAACTGGACATTGGATTGAGAAAATGTTCCAGAGAACGGCAGTTTTGCATCATATTCTACACATTACAATCAAAAGAGAAAACATACGTGGGCTACATGAAATCCATTGGTAATAGATTAGGGAGATTGGTGAAAGCATAGCAGGGGGTGGGGTTAGGTGGGAATTCTGGGAATGGATAAAAGTAAAATGTAGACACTTGCTTCTTTTACATAGGTAGTCAACAATTAACTCAGTAACAATAAGAGGATTTGGTAAAAGGGAAATTACCCTGACATTCCAAAGCAATGTTATCATAGATGCAAAAAGAAAATAGGCAGCTGAGTTAAGGTAAAGATTGACTTTTGTCAGGGCATATTCTAGCCTAGGACATGACTACCTGCTATACACTGCTTTTAGTTAAAAGGTTTTAATTTCAGACCATCCTCTGTGATTCCTTTAGGTCTCTGAGTTTGTAAGTCCACCATGTAGGCCTTTCCTGAGCTTGTCAGGGTTAATACCTGGCCCCGTTTGGTCCACACTATATTTTCAACAATAAAGAATTGTTTTTAAAATATGGAAAAAGTAAAAGGAAGAGAAAAATATAATCCTATCAATCAGATATAATTAGTATTAATATATGATATATTTCATAGGTACATTCTTCTAAACATACGGTTTTTCTATTTTACAAAGTTGTGATCATACTGTGTATATGTATGTATTCCATTTAGTAGCTAGATTTTAATCTAGTTATTATAACACAAGCATTTTCTAAGTTATATAAATGTTTTATAAGTATTTTAATGACTGTGTTATAGCTATAGTATGACATCTAATTATTCTATTATTAGATATTTAGGTTGTTTTCTACTTGGTATTATTATAGATATATTATGATAAAGTATTTTTTGATAGAGACTTTTATTGAAAGATAACTTACCAAATTCATGTATGTATACATGTAAGCATTTGATTTTTTCCCAAGTCAACACACCACTGAAACTACTGCCCATGTCAGTAAATTTTTACTAAGTGAGCACAGCCACATCAGCACTACACAGGCCAGGAAATAGAAGTTGGCCATGCCTGTGCCCCTTGTCACTCTTCCCTCCCTCTTTCTCAAAGGCAATCACCAACCCCACATCTAATGACATAGATCAACTTTTATCTTGAAGGTCCACATTTAATTTCTGTTAGATTTGAAGTAGGGTTACTAGATCAAGAAGTATAGATGTCTTAAAGTATCTTAGTTCATATAACCAAATTGTTTTCAAAATGTCATTTTATCACCACATTGTATGAAAATGTGGAACGGACTTTCGTTATGAATGTGAGAAGGGAGAGAAATGAGGTTCAAGTGTAAAGAGACAGAGTCCTGGACTGTGAATATTACCAAATGGGATTATATTACTTGAGGGGAATTCTAGTAATGTTTTGAAATTTTATTTTACCCATCTTGAAAATGGTCTTCTTTATCTGGACATTGCTAGTCATGGTGGCAGAAAGAAATGAGAGCATGATAAACCATGCACTTGTTCTGAAGATCTGGAATGACACAAACTTCTGTCCACATTATGTTGGCCAAATAAAGGCACATGTATTCAATAGAGCACGGGTATATAACATAATCTTCCCATAGGCAGGGCAACTGGAAAATTTGGTAAACAATTACCATCTACCGTACCTTCTACTTGATGACTTTGCCTCCTCCATAAGGACATCAAATCATTTAGCAGGCATCTTCAAACTACGGCCCGCGGGCCACATGCGGCCCGCAGAGGAGTCTGATCCGGCCCGCCAGGTTTTTTGGGCAGTGAGCGCAGCCGAGGTGTTACAGTAGGAATTAGTAGTTCATATAGTCCGGCCCTCCAGCTCTCTGAGGGACCGTGATCTGACCCCCACTTTAAAAAGTTTGAGGACCCCTGACATCAAATCATTTATAGTACTAGATCTTTTTCTTTTACTATAGAAGTACATCCTGGCCTTGGGGGAGAAGGGGAGGTTCTGTAACTACTGAGTGTGTAACTGCTGTAATTACCAGTGGGGCATTTATGTGTGCTGAACTTGTTGCAGTGTGCCCATTTCTTTTTAAAGAAGAAGCCCAGAAACATGCTTATTCCTTAAGAGGTGATGGGGAAATACAAACTTTAGTTTACTAGATACCTTTGGTGGAAAGCAATTCCTCTCTAGGGTCCACATTTTTATAGTTTACACATTCTGGTTGCATGCTCTCTGGGAAGCTATTCAGTTAAAGTTTTCCTAGCCTGTGGGTGATGACAGAATTGTAAGGTTTTCTTCTTGGCACAGCAAGGGAACTGGCTTGGCTTGCTCACCAGCGGGCCCTCTCCAGGTTACCAGGCACACCTTTTGGTTGAGGTTAACATCCTGTCCCACTGTACGCTTGCATTCTTCTCTATTGAAAATTCTTTTCCATACAGCTATTTTGTAGAATAATTAATTGTTAACATTAAGCATTGCTTCTTCTTTCACTTTCTCTTTATGTCTTCATCAAGATATAAGTGTTTTCCTTTCAGATGCTCTGTGCTCTCTTAGAGAAACAGTTGCATAGATGTGGGGGTAATGCTGAGATGTTGGGTGAGCTCTGATTTGACATGGTGTCTCTCTTTCAATCCTCAACAGGCCTCTTCTCTCTAGGGATGGTGAACTTGGAAAAAGGCTCCTGTAACTCCCCTCCAGGATGAACTCCCTGCCAGCAGACATGGAGAATGCTCTCACAGGGAGCCAGAGCTCCCGCGCTTCTCTGCGCGATGTCCATTCCATCAACCCTACGCAGCTCATGGCCAGGATTGAGTCCTATGAAGGAAGGGAAAAGAAAGGAATATCTGATGTCAGGAGGACTTTCTGTTTGTTTGTCACCTTTGACCTCTTATTTGTAACATTACTGTGGATAATAGAGTTAAATGTAAGTGTTCTTTTCCTTTAACAGTGTAAGAATTGTTTCCAGAGACAAAACCATTTTCTTTCTTTCTTTTTTAAACGTAATTTCTATCTCAGTGAATTTTGTTTTTTTTCCAAATGAGGCTATATTGATCTCCAGCTGAATTGAGCATTTCTTTTTCTTTATTGTTTAAACCAAACCTTGTTAATTTAAAACTCATTTTGTCTGGGATTTTGGAATTTGAATTCATGGTGTTTTGTATTATAGTGAAATTTGACACACTGTAGCCTGGGGGTCAAATTCAGCTGGACTGCTTTTGTAAATAAAGTTTTATTGGAACACAGCCCTGCCCATTTGTTTACTTACTGTCTATGGCTGGCTTTTCTGCTGAGTGGTTGTGTATTTGTGACAGAGTCCTTCTGTCCCACAAAGGCAAAAATGTTTATTACCTGACCCTTTTCAGAAAATAGATTGCTGATCCTTGTTCCGTAAAAATGTAGCATGCTTCTCTAATATGTTTTAGATGTTGCATCTTCTTTTCTAATTCCCATACTTAAGATTTTGCATGTTATTTACTCTACCTTTTTGCAAAGAAATTATTAATTATATGTTATAAAAATATTATAGAACCATTTGGAGGTTTGTCTATATTTTGACTTAACAGTTAGTTATATAGATCAATGATTTTCAACCACTCATAAACTAATTAGTAAAATTCTGTGGTGCACCAAAAAAACATATTTTTTGCCAGTCTAACAACAACAACAAAAAACAGGTATAATTTTAATTCACACAGGACAGCTAGTGTGTTGGATGTTATAATTTTTTTAATGTTTTTTTTTTTTTTATTGATTTCAGAGATGAAGGGAGAGGGAGAGAGATAAAAAAATCAATGAGAGAGAATCATTGATCGGCTGCCTCCTGCAGCTCACAGTCTGGGCATATGCCCTTGACCAGAATCAAACATGGGATCCTTCAGTCTGCAAGTCGATATTCTGTCCACTGAGCTGAACCAACTAAGCTGTAATTTTTTTTCATTTGACAATCTAGAAGAAAAGAAGTCAATACTTCTGATTAAATAATCAGACATTGCTTGTTTTAAAAATTCTTGCAGTCCTCTGGTTGAAAATAATTGGTCTAGATCAGTACTATCCAATAGAAGTACAATGCAAACCTCACATGTAATTTTAAATTTTTTAGTTGCTACATTTATTTAATGAAAATAAAAGTAAACAGATGAAATTAATTTTAATAATATATTTTATTTAACCCAACATACCTGTTTTCTCCCAAAGCCTTGGTTCTGTTTACATCTTACTAACAATACAAGATAAACTCTTCCAGATGCTTTCCTCCCAGGCAGAAGTTGTCTGCTCCCTTTATTTTATTTTATTTTTTTTCTCACCTGAGGATATGTTTATTGATGAGAGAGAGAGAGACATCACTGTGAGAGAGAAGCTTTGACCAGTTGTCTTCCATACGTACTCTCTTATATTACTTTCACACATAAATCATTTTGTTTTTACCTTTTACTCTCCTTCGTAGGTGAATGGAGGCATTGAGAACACGTTAGAGAAGGAGGTGGTGCAATATGATTTCTACTCTTCTTATTTTGATATATTTGTAAGTATTTTCTATTATATCGTTTATTTCAGATATGATGAAACTAACCAAAAGGCAAATTTCCTCACAATAAACCTCATATTCTATGTAGTTCTATTTGTTTCCTTCCTTGAATACTATATTTCCTTTTCCACCCAGTTACTGGCCCGTTTATGTTCTCTTTACCTCTTTCTAAGGAATTATTTGGTCATTTCAAGATAATAAAAGATACAAGAAAGGCAGCAGAAGAAGCCTTTCTTAGAGAAAAGCCTTTATTTTTTTCAAATAACTGAACTAGAAGCCATTGGCACCAATCACTAAAAGGAAAATTTACCTATTTATATAACAACATCATGATAATGCATTTTCTTTTCAGTATATTTTCAATAATAAATCTGTTTCATTTTTCTCTAATATAATTTGGGAAAGTTTTATATTGGTAATCTTGGGTAACATTAGTCAGTTGTAGAATTACAGATGCAGTTATCTGTAGATGAGGCATTCCTTTATTCAAGTGAATTCTTGCAGTGTCTCTAGAACACTTTTAAAAAATATATATTTTTATTAATTTCAGAGAGGAAAGGAGAGGGAGAGAGAGATAGAAACATCAGTGATGAAAGTGAATCATTGATTGGCTACCTCCTGCATGCCCTCCACTGGGAATCAAGCCCAGGCATGTGCCCTGATTGGGAGTTGAACCATGACCTACTGGTTCATAGGTCAATGCTCAACCACTGAGCCATGCCTGCTGGATCTAAAACACACTTTGGTTGGGTTTGACATATCTCCCTAGTATATCTCTTTATGATGTAAGTAGATCAGATACTAACATTGTGTTAGACTTAAAATTCACAGTGAATTCCCCCAAATTCATTTTAACTTCTTTATTCACTGTCTTTAGAAACTGTAGAATCCTTAAAGTCAGAAAACCTGATTCACAACACTATTATTAGTTGTATATCTTTGAATAAATTATTTCTAAGTTTAAGTTTCCTTAGTATTTAAAATGAGATCATCATCATCATTTTAATAAAACTCTAATACAATGTAGTAATACCCTTATTTTTCCAAATGAAGTAAATGAAATCATACATGAAAAACACATAATCCAATGATAGGTAGAGCTCAGGATCTGCAATCACTGTCATTATTTGTGTTGAAAATTTTAAGGATTATATTTTCTAATGTTTTCAAAGTACTCTAGAAGTCTTATTTCCTTTTTGAAAGGGCCTGAATAAGTCTGTCTGGGGAACAAAGTGGGATTGCCAATAAGTAGAGATCAGGATTCCCTTGTTATCACCCCCTCAAAACCCGACCAGTTCCATTTTTATCTATACAGTATGTGAGAGTTCATTCTTATGTGTAGACAGAGCATAGGCACTTAAAATTCACAGTGAATTCTCCCAAATTCATTTTAACTTCTAGTATGTTAAGATTCTATACATTAGGTTGAAAAAGTGTTCGAATGCTACCGAATATTTGGAAAACACTAATACAATGTAATCCCCTTATTTTTCCAAATGAAGAAATTGTGTTTCATGGTTCAGTGTCTTGACCTAGTCTAGGTCATGGAAGTTGGTGACAGAACATGTTATTTCCCAAATCTTACGATATTTATTTTGAAGTACATTTATGTAAAAGAATCTTAAGTGAGGTTATCTAGTCAATGGCAGCAGAATGTTTAGCCTGCAGCCTTTTAGCTGTTTTGACTGGTGAGGAACTTTTGGCAGACTTCTATCCTGAGTCTCAAGGGTCCAACTCAGAATAAACCTATTTTCTGAGATGTAAACTTTTAACCTGTGTTTATTTCTTAGCGGATGAGAGTTACTGAGATAGCTGTAGTATAGTGATTAAGAGCCTAGTCTTTGAAGTCAGGCTACCTGGATTCAAATCTTGGCTTTCTCACTAAGGAGTTGTGTGGTTTTGAACAATATTTCTAGTCATCTTAATCTGTATGATATGATTAATGATAGTAGTTGACTCATGTAGTTGTTGTGGTGGGGATTACATGGGATAATCATACTTACAAAGGGTTTCACGAAAGTCCCAGAACCATCTTGAATAACAGATAGAAACTACTGGGATGGGCTAAACTCTCCCAATACCCCTGTAACCCAGAGCTTTACCATAGACTGGACTAAAATCCTGCTGTCTTCCAGAAGTGAGCATTTGTCCCTGAAGTGGAATCAGAAATATATGTGGACCTCAGTAGAAAGAAAAACAAACATTTAATTTTATGTTCTTTTGTCGAGAATGACAAGTTGAGTTGAATCCTTATTTGGGTGGTACTACACAAATTCTAGAGCAGGGATCTCAAATGCTGGTCTGTAGACTAGTGGGTTCTTCATAAAACTAAGTTACTCTTCTTTTGTACATATTTTTAAAAACTTGTCTTTTCTTTTTTTAATATAGCTTTTGGCAGTTTTTCGGTTCAAAGTGTTAATACTCGCCTACGCTGTTTGCAGACTGCGCCATTGGTGGGCAATAGCAGTGAGTATACCTGGACGAATGGTTCGCCTCCTCCAGTGCTGGTGGCTAGGGCCTGCTCAGAGCAGAGCTGAGCTGGGAGAAGAGGCAGTTTTCATTTCAGTTGAATTCTACTAGCTTTTCCTGAGTCCCCTTTCCTCCTCTGCCTTCCAACAGTTTAGCTTCTTTCCAATGGTAATGACCAACTACAATAGCTTTGTCTATATGGATACTGAGCCAGTTCAGAAATCCAGAGGCCCAATTGGATTACTGGCCAAGCACCAACCCTCCCTCTACCTCATTGTATAATGAGGCATAAGATCAGTATCTCTGTCACAAAGATATTTCGAAAATTTCCTGTTGATTGAAACTGCTTAGTGATTGTTCATGACTTGCTCTCTGCTCATTTTGATATTTGCCTTCCTCCCTGTTTTATTCCCCTTCCTCCTGTCTTAAAGGGAAATGCTCTCATGTTCCTTTTTGTTATTGCCTTAAGCTTCTTAAAGGCAGTAGCCTTTTTACTCATTTTCTGTTTCCTTTTATCCAGCATAGAGCACATACTATTCACCCTAAATAAATACTGATTGATTGAAAGAAGAATTATAAGCAATTTTTCTATTTTCACAGATACCTGAACACTCACCTTTTTGAGAGCTCTAATAAGGCAGGTATATGAGGGAGGGGAATGCTGCTTAGGAATAGCCTGCAGGTCTGCTTTGGAGTGTGAAACCTGGGTCTGTGTGGGCCTGCGCAGGCTTGTCCAGCACTCCTAAGACAGAATCCATCAGGAGGCACCTCTGCCTGGGCCATCTCTCCTGAGCATCCACAGAATCGTCAGACCATCCATTGAGCCCTAAGCTTGCATTTCACTGATATGGGCTTACAGTTTTAGCCGGACTTGACTCCAGCCTTCAATATGAAATAGCTATTGGCAATACCAAATAGCTGATGATTGTCCCTTCCCAATTTTCTATAATAGTCTCTATTTGATTCTCTGTAACAACATGCATTAGTATTTGTCAATCCAACTGTCTCAGTGTTGTGTTTGTTTTCAGGAAAAATGGTTGGCATTCTGTGAGAGTTTTAAGAAAGTATCTTCAATCTCTAATTGTAAATTATCAAGAAGACAGGTCAGATTTAGCATATATTCATTTTATCGTTTCTGTTTTTTATTTTGAAAAACAGTTGTAGAGAAGGGTCCAGGCAGCTGGAAGAAGTCAGCTCGTACTTAAACTTAGTTCAGCCTGTAAAGTAAATTGGTATCAGAAGGTAAAATGCTTTTTCTCCAAGTGACTCCCTTTAGCTGCTGTGTGTGTGTGTGTGTGTGTGTGTGTGTGTGTGTGTGTATTGGGGAGGGGGTGTTTTGCTAACAAATACCTACTTTGCAACTTTGTTAATACTCACTAAGCATGATACCTGATGTCCCCTGACCTCCATTCTGTCAATCAAGGTGACTATTTGGCATTTGCTTTGGTCAGGTTTCAAATTGTTACAAATCTTAGTTGGATGACAGAGTGACTAGGGCTGAGTCCTATGGGATAATCACTACCCCAATCCCAGGAGCCCAGCCTCTGAATTTCACTCTCCTTTCTTCTGTGGTGATAGTGTCTTTGGATAAAATTTAGTTTCCCAACACACCGGCTTGCTAAGGGATGGAGAAAGGAGGCCATAAGAGCCAGTCAGGGATTGTGTGTTACATAGAAGTCCACTTTTCCACAGTCTGGGTTCAGGGCATAGAGATAGAGATATGGGAAGGAGCCAGCCTAGGTGTAGCTTCTCAGGCATTGTGTACTTCTGGCTCAGGTGGGTCTCTTGTGTGAGGAAGGTGCCTCTACAATGTTCAATGTCTAATTTGAATGGTGCCGACTTTTGTGTCTTTCAGTTGACGACAGCAGTGACCAGTGCCTTTTTACTAGCAAAAGTGATCCTCTCAAAGGTATGGCCTACCACTTTTTCTGAACAATACTATCTTATTCTTCTATACTAATAAAAGGGTAATATGCTAATTAAACCAGGAGACCTTCTGGAAAAAGCCAGGGCTGAGGTAGAGGTGATTAGGGGTGATCAGGCTGGCAGGTGGGGCAGTTAGGGGTGATTAGACTGGAAGGGGGTACAATTGGGGTGATCAGGACATCAGGCAGAGTAGTTAGGGACAGGCAGGCAGGCAGGCAGGTGATTGGTTAGGAGCCAGCGGTCCTGGATTGTGAGAAGGATGTTTGACTGCCAGTTTAGGCTATAAGGATTGGGCCTAAACCGGCAGTTGGACATCCACCAAGGGGTCCCAGATTGGAGAGAGTGCAGGCTGGGCTGAGGGACACCCCCACCCATTGCCCCCATGCACAAATATCATGCGTGCATCAGGCCTCTAGTCTATAATAACCAAGCCTTGTTTTCCACTCTGAGCTCATGGTAACTGGATTTCCTTCTGCTACTCACATCTGTCCTTCCAGCTTTTCTCTCAAGGGGCTTTTGGTTATGTGCTGCCCATCATTTCATTCATCCTTGCCTGGATCGAGACGTGGTTTCTGGACTTCAAAGTGTTACCTCAAGAGGCAGAAGAAGAAAACAGTAAGTTCCTCTCCACATTGGCCTCCTGGGACTGGCTAGGTGCTGAGCTGGAAGGAAGAGCTGTGGATGCCATAATTTGAATGAAGGGGCAGGTGGCTGAAGTTAGCAGATCGTTGTGTCATGTTCTTTAATGAGTGAAGCTGATAGTGTAAGGAGAGCATATTTGCAGACTGTAGACCACTTGTCCGAGCTGACCGGTTTTCCTGTTTAGCCTTGTATTTGGTTCTGATGTCGATCTCTGTAGGGAGAAAGCCGTTCTTAAAAGAAGATAATGTAAATATCAAGTCAAAGGTATTTCATGAGTCACACACGGCCATTTTTAGAACTAGTTGAAATCTGTCCTTACAGTACAGGTTCACAGTTTATTAATAACATTTATATTTTGGTGGAAATATTTTCAAAATATCTCTTTGGCTAACATTTGTTTTTAAATGTAATATAAACATCATTGTATTGTGGTTAGCCTTTCCAGAAGCTGCCAGAATGCGCACCATCCCAGTCTGAATCTCCTCTCTTTCAGGACTCCTGATAGTTCAGGATGCTTCCGAGAGGGCGGCCCTTATCCCCGGGTGTCTTTCCGATGGCCAGTTCTATTCTCCCCCCGAATCAGAAGCAGGTAAAAAAGTGTGATTATCATTTATGGTTTTGTCTGTTATTCAGATGCTCAGCCCGCTGTCTCTCCCTCTGCTTCTCATAACACCTAGCAAACATTTAGCATATCAGGTATTTCAGATATGAGGACAACTAAGACATGGTCTTGACCTGTGATTAGTGGTCTCACCTAGAGATGTAAAACTAAATGGAACAGAGAGCCAGAGACACTGGCTTATTTTTAGTCTGCATCCTAGAAGACAAGGGTACACTGTATTGTATGTTCACCACCCTAAGTCAAGTCTCCTATCAGCATTTATCCCCCTATAAATGGTGGGGGGATAAATGGTCCTAGAAGGAGACTTTTATCCACAACCACCTCCCTCTACGCCCCTCCCCACTGGCAGTTACCACGCTGTTGTAAAATGTTCATGAGTTTTTCTCTTCTTTGCTCACTCCCTCCACTCCCCCATCACCCAGCCCCCCAATCCTTCCCTGACAGCTGTCAGCCTGCTCTCTGTCTACGAGTCTGCCTCTGTTCTTCTTGTTAGTTCATTTTGTTCATTAGATTCCACATATGAGTGAAATCAGATGTGTACCACTTAATTCCACCCTGAGCTTCAATTCAGCATTTCTTGCTTCAGTTTCTGCAATGCCTCTCTCCCTGCCTTAGTTGCCTTCTCACAAGCAGCCACCAGAGAGCAGTATTAAAAATAACAGTCGCATTGTTTCTCATAACCACTCTGATGTGAAAGTCTTTCTCCCTATTTTAGAGATAAGCGTATTGAGGCACAGAGAGGTGAAGTTATTTGTCCCACATCCTACAAAGAATAAGGGGTGGAGATAGGATTTGAACACTGGCTCTAGTGCTGGAGTCCACGTTCATAGCCTTTTAACATTAATGAAAATTACAAATTGATCACATTATTGCCCTGGCCAAAAGCCTTCGGTGAGATCAAAGGTTAAGAATGTCATGATTCCTTAGCCTGGAAGAATGCACTTCTGTGACCACCCTTACCCAATTGTCTAGCCTCTCTGCTAGTTAACTTTCCTTGTTTTTCTGAAAATGCAGCGAAACAAAACCCTCTCAAGCCATTGTACATCTTGCTTTTTTCTCTCTTTAACACTATATCTCTGCAACCCTAGTCTCCACTCATGTGTTCAGAAGGCTTCTCCCTTCCTCCCACCCACGCTGGCTCCTAGCAGTGTTGGCAGCATGTCCTGACGTTTGTGTATTCTTTGGGACATGCCCACAGCCCTGCCACTCTATATTGTCTGCACTGTCTTCAGCAGGCACCTGGCCTGTTTCTAGCACTGAGATATAAACTTGAGTTAGAGACTCCATTATTTTATTCCCACTGTTTTGCTTAGTAAATATAATAAACATACATACACGCGCGCACACGGTGAAACAGTCTCCAGGCAGAAAGAGCCATGTGAAGATCAAAGGTACAGCACTGGGATAGCATGTTAGGGGAATGTGAAGTAACTTGATATTCTGTACTATTGGTGTTGGCTCTAAACGCAGTGTAAATCAAAGGCCTGGAGTCAGATGATAAGATATATGAACTAGAAGAAAAGCTATTTCTCAGCCATCAGAAACTATTGGAGTAAGCATTAAACTTTCATTACCTCATCATAAGGATTATTTCATTGAGGTTTGTGCATCATAGGACTCGTTCCTTTAAAAAATAAGAATTTTGCACTATAGTTCATGCTTTTGCATAGCGTTTATTTTTCTAAGACTATTAAAATTTGTCAACACTAATGTATTTTCTTAATTGGAAGTTCAGAACAGTGGAATAATAACATGGGGAATACCGTCCAGGCACTCTTCCGTCAAGCAATCCATTGACTTCCTGCCTGTGACTTTTAATACCACCTAGTGGTAGTTGGAAATATTACCGTTTCACTGGCTTAGGCTAACCAAGAAAACAAATCCTTTCCCAGTGTTCCCCTGGGGAGCTGCTTTGTCTCAGACAAAATGCAGCGTGGTAGTGGTCAGAGGAGAGTTCATAATGGCTTAGTTTATTGTATTATATTGTTTATTATATTATACTAGAGGCCGGATGCATGGAATTCATGGAAGGGGCTTGGCCCTCGCAGCCCCGGGTTCCTCCGGAAGGTTGTTTGGCAGTCCGGTCTAATTAGCATATTATGCTTTTATTATTACAGATTATTTTCATTGTCTTAGTGTTCAATTTAAGAAAGGATTAAAATTAAAAACTTATTGAAATTAACGTGCCCAGAAGATTATACTGTAAAGTTTTTCATTCGGCCAATGGCTAAATATTAAACTGTGTGTTAGCAGCAGAAGTTATAAGCTTCTGTTGTCCTGATACAGCTCTGAGTGGCCCCTGGAGGCAAGACCTGCCTCGTCTTTTCTTCAGCACGTAGTACAGTGCCTGGCACATGCTAACCTTAAACTATGGGAGGAATAATGAAAATAGGGGAAAAGTTGAAGGCACCAAAAATTGAAACGTCAGCATTTTCCTTGTAAAGGAATGACTTGAATTTTAGCATCACAGAGATTTGGAAAATATTTAGTAGATGTACTTCTAGAGGATATAAAGGTTGTTTGCAGGTTTGCTTTTGGTCTAGCCATTTCCTGCTTACTTGTGTATTAAACGGAAAGAATGAGGAAGCACAGTCCTCTCTCAGATGACGGGTTGAAGTTGTTGCGTGTGGTCACACAGCTTAAAGGAAGCAGGAGTGTCCAGAAGCGTTATAGCAGTTTAACAGGCTGGAAAGTGAAGCCTCAGTCTAGTTAGTTATCACAAACTCACCCTTACCTGTGTGACATGCATGATGTTACGATGTGGGACATAATCTTGCCTTGGGATTCTTGGCCTTTCATTCTCCCGGAGCGGGTTTCTTTTTGGCGATAGCCCAGACGGACACAGTCATGAGAAAAGCACATCACCTGATAGGTGCCACCGCAGCGGGAGGCAGGCTGCTTTTGTGTGTGCATGTTGTATCGCTGACTGCTGCCTTCGTCTAATTTCTGCTTTTTTTTCTTGTTTCTGATGCCTGGCTATGAGAGTAATGCATGTTTTTTTTATATATATATATAAAAAGGTAGAAAGAACAAAAATAAAAGATAACCTGTTCGTCAAACTATTCAGCAACCTCAATGTTGACAGGTTCATTTGTTTCCGTCTAGTTTTGTGTTTGTCATTTCTATAATTGTGGCCAGAGAGCCTCTATTATTTATATCCTGTTTCTAAACTTGTGTAGTCAACATGGATTTATCCTAGAGGCTTTGGGAATCCAGGACTGTGTGTACGTCGCCTGGTTGTTCTCTCCTGGTCTTTCTGACTTGCACATATGTATTTAGTATTTTATTTTTTATCAAACATGATCTTACAATATATATAACTTTTTTTCATTATATATTTGTTTTTACATTATAACATGCATTTTTCATGTTATAAACTATATAAACATAATTTTAAATGGAAGCAAGTGTATTTTGTGGAAATGTAAGAATTTTTAACTGCTGCTCTCAGGATTAGACTTTTTCCCACCACTTTTGAGAGGAAGAAAAAAAAATCTCCATGATGTAAAATAAGTACTATTTCCTCAAGTTTATAACCTAAGGATATAATTCAAGAGTGGGACGATTGGGTCAGGGGCACAACTAATGTGAGGCTCTCTGGACACTGACCCAGAAGGGTTGGAACAGCACGTGCGGGGGACCACCTGGCATCACGTGGCCTTCAGGAAGCCCTCCCTGCGCTCTCACCGGGGCAGTGCCTTTTAAAAATATGTAGGTTAAGTTATTTGTACCAAAGCTCAGTTATTTGCCCTTAAAAAACATCTGTAAGCTTGTCAGCATAGAGGCGGAGAAGGAAGAGCCCGGGTAAATAGATTTCTGGCCCGTATGAATATTTTTAACAGTATGTCAGTGAAATCCATTTTGATCCCGTTTCAAAGTTCCTCCTCCAATAAATACGGTGAGACTTTATTTTATAGTTGCAGTTTTAACCTAAATCTCTGGAGGATTAAACATGTATTTCTCATTTAAAACATGACGTTGTATATATTGTAATCTTAAAGGTATCGTTTGTTACTTTAATATAAAACAATACTTTTTTGTTGTTGTTGTTCCCCTTTCTTACCACGTAGGATCTGAAGAAGCTGAAGAAAAGCAGGACAGTGAAAAGCCACTTTTAGAGCTCTGAGTCCTAATTTTGTTAAAGTAAGTCTTTGAAAGTGAAACGGTAACAGCAAAGTGCTGAAATAGGGAGCATTTCTTCGAGTGGATTCCAAGTAAAATTCAAAGAATGTGAGTGAATCTGTAGCCAGATTTCTCCAAGTTACATGAATTTATCAGTCATATTGTAATCTGTGCAAAAGGTCTTAACATTTTTTGTATGGGTATAAATTTGTGAAGTATGAAAAATACCTCAGAGACCCCAGTTTCTAAATAAGGATGCATTGATTTTTGTTTACTTGGCCAGAATGTCTCCATGTCAGACATCGTTTGGGTACAAACCCTAGCTTATGGAGGATGGGAGCGTAGCAGACCTGTGAGATGTGGTATTGCTACTGTCTCCATTTACACTTGAGGCAGCTGAGAGAGTTGGGGTGGGGGGAGGTAACCTGTTCAAGGTTGCCCAAATAGGGAATGGCAGAGCCAGGATGCAGGGCGTCCAGTCTGGTTCCACTGTGCGCTCTGACCCTGCCCTGAGACGGAAGACGGAGCTTCTGAGGTGGAAGATGTGATCCAGTCTTTCAAAGAAATAGCGCTTGATGTACCTCAAGGCAGGGGCACGTTGTTAAATCCCTTCAAACCATCAAAGAAGAACATTCAACCTCAGAAATACAAGAAGATAATGATTATAAATTGTAGTAGCAGTGACTGATTATTTAAACACAGAAGGGAAAAGAGAATAGATCTTAAAAGTCCTTCTCAGAAGGAAAAAAACCAGTGTTGTAGCTGTGTGGTGATGGATGTTAACTAGACTTAAAATGGCAACCCTTTTGTCATATATACCAATATTGAATCATTATGTTTTATACCTAAACTAATATAAAGTGATGTGTCCATTAGATCTCAATAAACTAACAGTAGCATTTTTAAAAGAAGGTAAGCATAGTAGACAGATTTCAGCATCGGTGGGAAGCCAGCATAGTGGCGGACAGGCTGGCCAGTGCAGGCCCTGCACCTGCATCAGCAGCGCCCGTACTCCTTCTCTTCCTTGCACAACGGCGCTGAGACAACACGGAAATGTGGGCATATAAGAGCCGATCCTTTTCTACAGTGCTTAAAAATAAGTTCCTGCATGACCACACCCATTGCTCTTTAAGTGTCTGTAACACAGCCATCTTCGGCACAGACCTTGGTATAAAAACATAAGGCGAAGTGTAGCATACTTCCTTTCAACAGATCTCAAATGTTTCTGTGTTCTTTTCTTTTCTAAGTTTGAAAAACCCTCACTGAAAATCACCAGAGGCAAAAAGGACCAGAGATGGGGTCTCTGCCTGGAAAGTTGAAATGGTGGCATCACTGATGACGTGATTGATTGGCTAATAAAGAGTTTATTTATCGTAATACCTCACAAACACTGTATCATATTCACAGACGTTCAGTAACCTGCCTGTGGCTGGTAAGATAGTAATGTCATGATCCATCCTGTATTCTTGAGATTGAGCCTGACCTGTTGATGAATAGTTGCAGAATGGTCTTATACTGTATTCCTAATCAAAGGACTTCTTAATGTATCAGCATAACACTTCTTTGGTAAGCAAATACCTTTTTGTTTGGATTCACAGAGTGGACTTGTTTTGTTTCATGTCTCAGATTTCTTTTTTTTAACACCCTACATTTTCCTTGTCTTTTTTTTTTTTTTTTTTTTTTAACTCATGCACATGTGCTCTTTGTACAATTTTAAAAGTAATAAAATCCAACATATCAAAATAATTAGTTTTATTTTTCTCATTTTACATTTGGCCAAAAGTGTGGGAATTACAAAAGAGGAATTGTGAATACATATAAAAGGTCACTAGATATTTGTATTATTTTTATCATGAATAGTATCTTTCTCTTCTCAGTGTGATTCTAAAGGAGTCTGAACCCAACCATGAAATTGCTATCATCTTGTTGGAGAATGGGAATTTTTTAGCATACTTCCAGAGAGGCCGTGGACTATGTCCCAGATAGAGTTGTCAGTGCTGACACCAGGCCAGGCCTTGAGATACGGTCTCATGGCCCCTTGCCAGCATGTAGGCCTTCTTTCATAGAACACTGTCAGCTTTCTGAAGAACAGGATGACCCAGTAGACAACATGGTCGTCAATGGCATGACTCTGACGTTGCTTGGGAAAAACTGTTTTGTCTTGGGTTACTTGTTCTGCAAAAACAGGACGTGGAAAATGGGCTTAAAATTGGTCCTACACAAAGGGTCGCGCCTCTCTCTAGTCTCCCTGCATGGAGAATGGCAGAGCATTCGTCCAGCTAGTCACTTGCCCGGCCGGCTAATAAAGGCTCTTTGCTTTTGCATCGGACTCGGCTCCCTAGTGGTCCTTGGGGATCTTGAAATATGGGCATAACAATCTTACCTTTGTGTTTACCTAGTTTGAATTAAAGTAGACTAAATTATATTGAGATTTTTTTTTTTTTTTTTTTTACTTTCACTACAGAATACTTTATTACAACACACAGCTCCAGCACGAGCCCCCTATGTGCAAGGTACAACCACACACTGACTACCCTAACAGGGACCCCTTCCCTTCCCCCTTGCCTTGTGGACCTCTTCTATTAAATATTTCAGATAAGGATCTCCTTGGCCAGGGAATTTGCCTTCTCTCAGAGCCTCGCTTTTCTTGTCTTGTTCTTCACTCTCGTCAGGTAGGGCCTCCTGCTCTGCCCTCTATTTCTGGTGGTTCCTGGTGGCTGCTGTCTTGCTCTACTCCATTTTTTTCAGCTTTTTATCTAGTTTCTTACCCTTTACTTTTGCTGCTACCATCTTGTGTCTTGAGGGCTGTAGGGCTCAGAGTGGGCAGAGCCTCAGAGGGTGCCTGGAGACGGCAGGAACGTTCCCACGTGGAGGGGTTCTGGAGGGAGGAAGAGAGCCCGCATAGGACTCCGAGCTCAGAGATGCCACTGTCATTGCCGGAGGTGACCACCTCCTCTTTTATGCATTGAGGGATTATGGTAATAAAAACAACTGAGTCGGACTTCCTAGTTCCTTCAGAAAAAGCGACTTCACTGCCCAACTCTAAACTAAAGGAATGACCCGGAGTGGACAGGGCCCCTGGAGAAAGGGGAAGAGGTTGCAGGAAGGTGAAGGGGGAGAACTGATCAGTTTGGGGTGAACTTTCTGAAAGAGGGCTAATTGGATTCATTGTCTACGGGTGATGGGGACTCCTTATTAACCTCCTGGTCTTAGGGGGTCACAGAGATCACATGTGTCATCCAGTGTAGCCAAAGCTCAGAGGGCATGGTTTCCAGGTCATCCAAACAGATCGTCAAAGTCAAACTCCTTGGGATCCCATGTCTCCACCATCCAATCTGTCCTGAGAAGGCATCTTCCTCACACTGTCTGAGGCATTGACCAGCCCGTCCACAGCTGGCCATCCAGAGGAGCCCACGTTAGCCTGGTCGCTGGAGAACCCATGAGATTTGAAGTGCTTGGCCACCCCCAGATGGTCATCTAAGAGACCTTGGCTTTCTTCAGCCTCTAAACCCCACCGATTGAAGAGAGACATCAAGTCCATCTGTGCTTGTTCTAAGAATGGGCCACATGACAGGAATGCCTAACCAGGAAGAGCTGCTTATGGTGGAGAAAGGGGTGAGGGAAAGCTCCAGGGGCTAGCTTTGGACTAAAACCTTAGGAACTCACTGGCATTCTCATAGCAAGAATGCCCTGTCCTACACCAAGCCCTCAGATGATGCCTAAACCAGATGTCCTTGCCATAACCTAACCTGAGAAAGAGTTCTCACTCAGCATGCTGGACTGAATCCCTGGAGTACAGCCCATCGTGATAGGGAGCCAAGGCTCCCAGAAGTTGGCTCTCAGAGCACAGACCATGAAGAATGAGGAGTCTGATTTGCATGTGCCATGAAGGGAGAGTGGAAGCCTGAAGCGTTGTTCCCAACAATACAAACATACTTCCCCCCAGGACCGTGCCGATTGAGCCTGTGGGCCTGGGCACCCCTCTGTACCAAGCATGGGCGGGGTGGGGCCCACATTTCCTCTTTATGTTCACAGAGCTGACCAGCCCTCTTCTACTCGACCCCGATCAACCTTCTATCTGATGTGCATGTCCTCTGTTAAGCTTTGCTCAGGCTGACTGAAGTATTTTTCAGGCTTACATAGGTCCGTATAGGACCTTCAGGGACACAGTTGAAGGTAGGGCCTCGCTAACCCTGTGTTCTTACGAAGGAGAACGCTTATCACCGTTGTCTACATCCATGGTCTGTCCATGCTGTGGGGTTCACAGACACAGGTGTCACCCTGTCTATACTGAGAAAATGAAACCAGAAACGTACAGGCCTCCCTAGATCAAATACTGTGGAAAAGCCCAAATATTTTGGTGAAATGTTAAGGATTATCCCAATGCTGTTTGCTGACCATCCAGAACAGCATCGTGATGGCCTGAAGGGGCAGGATCTGAACAGTCCTGGGCATAAAATTTGCATCTCATGCAGTGGTAGGCTTTATTAATCTCCTGGTCTGGGAGTAACGGGAGTAAGCCTTGTATATGAAAAGTGGGGTCCCCTCCCCACAGCCTAAGTGTGTGTCTAATAACATCCGCCTGCTTGTGTCTGTGGATAGGTATTTTCTTTCACATTAGCTGTGCCCTTTTGAAAGTGGTTGTGGTTTAACTGTCCTTATTTTATCTTATAACACGCCAGCCACCACCGGTACAGACCCAACCAGTGGGGGCCGGTTTGAGTTGGAGCCTTTTCCACGAATCAACCGCATTTGCCAGAGCATGTAAACAAAACGGGCCTGAGAAACGAAACACCCTCAGCTGCACCAGCACCCTCCCACCACACACACTGGCTCCTCCACCGCCACCTCCGCTCTCCTCTCCACCGCCGGTTTCAGGGCAGCCCAGGTTGAGCTGAGGAAGGAAGTGGCCACGGAGTCTGAAGCCACAGGAGACACTGGCTAGCAGTGCCCCAGCTGTGAAATTAGCCACACCAAGCACTCCCTCTGCTTCTACCTTTCCCCAGGCAGACATAGTTTCAATTCTCTTAAGTCAGCGATCTTCAATCTTATGTCATGGCACACATAAACTAATTAATATTCTGCAGCACACCAAAAAGGGTTCGTTTGTTTTTTGCTAATCTGACAAAAAAAGTAATAATGTTGATTGACTTATAAAAATAATAATAAGGGTAATTACCTACCCTTTTTACTCAAAGGAACTTTTTAAAAATCAGATGCATATAGTACTTGTACAGTGGTCGGCAAACTCATTTGTCCGCAGAGCCAAATATCAACAGAACAACAATTAAAATTTCTTTTGAGAGGCAAATTTTTTAAACTTCTTCTAACGCCACTTCTTCAAAATAGACTCTCCCAGGCCACGGTATTTTGTGGAAGAGCCACACTCAAGGTTATAATGATTTCTAGTACCAAGCATTAACCAATCACATGCAACTTTATTATTAGATGTAATCCATAAGATGCAACTCTTTAAATGACCTATATATTTATGGTTTAAGACAAGCCATTTACACCAGCAGGCTATTGTTGTGTTGGCTGTTGTCATTTTTTAATTGGACAATTTTAGGGAGAAGAGGTCAGTGCCCCTGTCTAAAAAGCCAGGTATTTACTGTTTTAGAAATCCTTGTGGCACACTGTTTGAAAATAGAGAGGTACTTAGCCTAATGAGGTTTGATCAAATCAATGAGAATCAAGCAGGAGATCTAATTAAATGTAATCTTCCTTGTATCCGCTTGGTCTTATTTTACTTCCCAATGGGAACCTCTACTTGGTTCCACAGAACCTAAAACTGATTGTAAACAAACAAAATCTTTTCGATTTTAAATGAGACATTGTTTTCATTCTAATATGTAAGGGTTTTTGTTTTTGAAGGATTCATTACAGAAAATAGAAAAATATAATCACATTTGTTTTCCAGCCACCAACCATACATTGAATATTTTATTTTATGCTGATGCCCATGGTCATACACAGACACACAGATACATGAATGTCATACTTGTTAGTATTATTAATAGAAAAGAGAACCAAAGGACATGGGCAAATATTTCACAGAAGGAAAACATGAATAAACTTTAAATATATGAAAAATTGCTCACCCTCACTCATAAGAGAAAAGCAAATGAAAGCCATAATTAGACTGTTTTCCAGTTGTCATGTTAGCCAAGGCCTGACATTGGTCAGCACACTCTTGGCATTCACCTACATTGCGGTTGAGATGAGCAATGCACACATTCAGAATGACATTAAACACTAATATTTATTTCAGCATTTTTTATAACAGGATTGGGAATAAGCCAACCGTCTATCACAGAGAACTGATTTTATAAAGGATTGTACAATATATTTACCAGTGACATACGCAGCTAAGTGCCCCTGTGTCTTGACATAAGAGCTCTAGGATGAATAAGTAAGAAAAGTACAGAATAATGTGTATTGTATACTCCCCTTTGTGTGCTAAGGGAGGAAATTAGAATATATATAAACATGCATATGTATTTATATATATGCATTGATTGCATAGTGAAAACAAGAAGGATGCCCGAGAAATAAAAATGTGGTCTGTAAGATAACACATTTTACAGGTGTTGTGATGTTTGAACACCGTGGTGGTGTCATCTAGCAGTTGTTGCAGCACATTGTCCTGTGGACCAGGCTGTGATGGCTCCCGGCTGCCTCAGAGCGGAGACAGCAGCACCGGAGCTCAGGAGCTATTTCAGTCACCTGCTGGCCTCATACCGGCTACACATGAGAATCACTAAAGGTTTATTAAACTCCAGCGCCGGGCCTGTGATGCAGTCTGGGCCTCAGGGATTTTTTTGACAATATTTTTAATTGATTTCAGAGAGGAAGGGAGAGGGAGAGAGAAACATCAGTGATGAGAGGGAATCATTGATCTGCTGCCTCCTGCACACCCCACTAGGGATGGAGCCCAAAACCCGGGCATATGCCCTGACTGGGAATCAAACCATGGCCTCCTAGGTCACATAGGTCGATGCTCAACCACTGAGCCGTGCCAGCCTCAGACTTTTTAAAGGCACCAAGAGGACAGCCGCTGACATAATGGGTAAAACAGCAGATTTTCAGTCAAATGAACCTGGAATCGTGTGGTCGCCGGCAGTACCCACATTTAACCTTTGGCATAGCAGCCTCTCCCCATGTCGACTTCCCATCAGCGCAGCATGATACCTGTGCTGTGTACAGTGAGAGCATCAGACTGAGCATGCAAACTGCCGAGCAGGAATTTTTGATGCTAAATTCCTGATGCTCACTAAGTTGCAGATACTTGCTGTTATTCAAACAAAACAGAAGAAAGTGAACAAAAAAATAAAATAAAAAATAGTCTAACAGAACCTGACAGCGATCATGCATTTACCCAGATAAGTTTTCATGGCTGAAGACATGTTGAGTTTCTAACTTTTTGGCTGACATGTATCATGTGGGTGTAGTATCTCTGACTATCTCTTATTATTCAGAATTTCTAATTGGCTGTTCTATAGAACTTTGATTCATGTAAAGGGAAAATCGAGTATTACATCATTGTGGCTTGCTTGATCGACAGAAAGCCTTCACAAAAATCTTTGCGTTAATGGAGAAAAGAATCTAAGACAGTGGAGAGACTTCATAACTGGAAAAGTTTGCTTTGTTGTTTCCCTTCTCTTTGTGGTTGGGAAGTGTATGGAGTACTTGAACGCTATAAAGACTCTTGAGACGTGAGTGCTTTCATGTGGAATTGAGAAATCTTTGCCTAAGTTTCTCATTGCACACCTGCGGGTGCCACCTGTTGTCCTGGTGTTTGTTTCACCCAACCACGTGCCATGGACCTTAATCTCAGATGTCTGGTTGGCGTGTGTGAGGTCAGCATGTGAAAATCTTCCCAACATGAGAAAAATTGTGTGGCAGGCTGGCCCATAACCCTCTAATTGTATGGACAGCATAGGAGTAAGAAGAGAAAGCGTAGACAGGTAAAGAGGCAGTTCTCTTCATTAGCTCTTAGCCTAATAAGGAAGAAAATTTTCCTGTCTTAACTGAAACTAAAATTAATCCCTTTCTACTCTAGTAGCAACTAATGTAGATGTGAGAGCAGAGCTCCGGGAACAGGCTTCCTGGGTTCAAATCCAAGCTCTTCCTGTTATCAGTTAACTATGGGGACCTTCTTTATCCCCTCTTTGCCTCAGTTTCCCAATCAGAAGAAAAGAGATAATTGTACTGGTTTCCTAGGGTTCTTGTGAGAATTAAATGTTAACACATGCTTAGATAAATATTAAGAACTGTGCAAACGTTTGCTGTTATTACTTCATTAGGATGAATTTAATTTGTAAATATGCTAGAAATGTGAAATTATTTAAATCGAACACTTTCTCGTAAAGATGGGTAAACTTAGGCAATATGACATGGTCAAAGCCTGGCCAGTGTGGCTTAATGGTTGAGCGTTGACCCAGGTGGTTGCAGTTCGATTTCCAGTCAGGGCACAGGCCCAGATCGTGAGCTTTATCCCTAGAAAAGGACAAGTAGGAGGTAGCCGGCCAATGTTTCTCATTAATGATGTTTCTATCTCTCCCTTCCTCTCTGAAATCAATAAAAATACATTTTTTAAAGAGAATAAATGACACAGTTAGAGCCAGGCCAAGTAACAGGCTCTAATTATGGAGTGGGAGGTGAGACTTCTGGCCCAGTGTTCCTCCCGTCACACCGTGTGGCAGTCTTGCTGTGAGGGAAAAGTCCTGGACCAAAGCGGAAGTGTACCCATTTACCTCAGAGATGCCCATGGACACGGAGAGGCTTCTACTCAGTGATTCTGCGGACCTCGGGCCCAGAGAGCACCGAGGGCACCATCAGACGTCCTGTTCTGCCTGGGACTCTCAGTTCATTTCATTTACACCCCAAAGAGCAGCTGCAAATCTGGGACACATTCTATACGGCAGGATTTCCATCCTGTTGCTAATCAAGGGAGCAATTACGGTTCTACCAGGAGAAAATGCAGATGCACCTGCAAGTCCTTAAGAAACTTCTCCCTGGCTCCTTGGAGAATGCCATTGGTAAAGAAGCAGTGTATGTTTCGTTTAGTTTTGTTTTTCCCAGTTGAAGGTAGGTGAGGGGGAGGTTATATGATACTAGGCAACAAAATATGTCTCTGAGTCTAGAAAGACCTGGCTTCAAATGACCATTACTTACAAAATGGTGACCAGGAGCAGATAAGTCTCCCCAGTCTGTGAACTTGGACTATACCCACCTCCAAGGGCTCTGAGAGGATGAACGGGATTGCCTGGTTTGAAGCAGAAACTCATGGAGGCACTATTCCACCCACATCTAACCTCTCTGCAGGGAAATAAGATTAGAGATGACAGTGTGTGTGTGTGTGTGTGTGTGTGTGTGTGTGTGTGTGTGTGTGTTCTATTATTTCTAAAGTAGAGCTACTAACAGTTAGCTTCTAATGCTATTGAGGACTTACATGTACCAAAAATTATTAACTAATTCACACAAATAGAGGAGACCAGCCACTGTAACTGCATTCTACAAATGAGAAAAGTATGGCACATGGAGTTCAAAGAGTTTGTCTGAGGTCATACAGATAGCAATGCCAGACCCAGGACTCAAATCCAGGCACTGGGGTTCAGAGTCGACGTGCTTCACCCATCCCTCACACTGCCTCTCCAAAGCCAGGGCAGTTCTCACAGGGTGATCGTGAGGATTGGGAAACTTGATGCTTGAGAAACACTGGTATCGATCTGAGCACACAGTGCAAAAACCATGGTAGGTGCCACAGTGTCGCCATTGGAATTCCCCAAACCAAACAAGTATGGCTGTGGTGACCTTTGACAGAGAAGGAAGCTGGGCACCTTCATTTGGCACTGGCTCCGCTCAGAACCAGCGCCTCAAAGAAAGCATCAGAACTACCGTCTCAGGGAATGAAATAGCATTGTAGTGTGGACCATCACACCAACACTGAACTTGATACCTCATTTGTCATGTCTTTCTTATCTTGGACTTCCAATTAGATTCATCAGATTAAAGTACATGGACAAGAGGAGACTTTTGATTGAAAATTTTTTTTATTGTCTTATGAAAAACAAAATACAGAATTCAAGTAGCAGATTTGGAGTCTTCTGGGTGCGTAAAATGGAACGTTCAGAGCAGTTGTTTGGTGCAAAAGCTCTAAGAAGTGTGACTAGAGGCTGCGTGCTGTCTGTACTCAGAAGGCGTGATGATTAGGCGTAGCTAGAGGAGCTGACGGGGATTATGGGAAGATGGTGCTAAAGGGTGCCCTTTGGCCCTGCCCCTGAGTAATGGCAGAATTTGTTATGTTACACAGTGAAGTTTTCTTTTGCCCAGTGGTTTGAAAATCATTATGCAAAAATGACATCATAGAAAAAATGCACATGTGAACTGAAATCATCTAAACACGGAAAGTCCAACTAGGTCCTCAGCAGACAGGTTCAGAGACAAAAAAAAGAAGAGAAAAATTGATCCTTTTGTACCATCATCTGTTAGGAACTCTTGCCATGGTCACAGACTGCTGTTCTCCTAACCAGGCAGACGGAAATGACTGCCAAGTAGACCAGGCTCTTGAGGAGGAGGAGGAGGTAGGTGTAGAAGGCAGAGGTATTGATGAGCTGCAGCTGAAATATATCTAGGAGAAGTCATTTGATTAGTTTCACCAGTTCTTTTGAAAGGGTAGGAAATATTAATGGGAGAGGTTACACTTACTAATATTTACTTCTTATGATTTTTCATTAAAGTGATACCCTCACATCACCAACCTCCCAAATGAGCAAACATCTACCATCTCTACCAACAAGAACAAGACAGTGTAGAATCCAGCTTGCAGGCCAAGTCAACCAACAACCTCTGCTAAATTCACTTAGAGCACTCCAAAATATTCAAAACTAAAGTTGCATTTTTAATGAGTGAGTCCCCTGAGAAGAAAATATTTGTGGTAAATAACTTTTAGCATCTCTTCACCCTCACCACATATCTAATTAATAATAGCCAATATTCATTAACCACTACACAAGTGCCAAACACTCTGAGTTCTTTGTATGCAAAGCATTAATCTTACATATTTTTACAACAACCTATGAGATTATTATTTTAATTCCTGCTTTACAAATAAATGGGGAGAGATAAGTAATTTGCCTGATATCATGCATTTAATAAGTACCAGAAGATGCATTTCAATCTCAGCAACATGAATTTACAGGTCACATTCTTACTCTGTAATTCTGCATCTCCAGGTGCAATTAATAATACTCCAAATATCAAAGGATTAAACATGAGTATAAAGTTGAGTTGCTGATTTGGAAGTATCTGAAGCATTACATGTGCATGCAGTATGATTCCTACTAAGGGTACAATCCATGAAAATTTGGTAGCGTTCACAGTGGGGTGAGTGTGAGGTTTCAGTAGAGGGCATTATGTTATCTGGAAGAACGTGGTTAATGCAAATTCTCTGCAACTTTAAGAGGTGATGGCTCACCTGTCTTTCCTGAAAGTTTCTTATTGGGGCTATGACACTATAGACCCTATAGTTTGGTTGGCAAACTGTGGCTCGTGAGCCACATGTGGCTCTTTGGTCCCTTGTGTGTGGCTCTTCCACAAAATACCACGGCCTGAGTGAGTCTATTTTGAAGAAGTGGCGTTAGAAGAAGTTTAAGTTTGAAAAATTTGCCTCTCAAAAGAAATTTCAATCATTGTGCTGCTGATATTTAGCTCTGTTGACTAATGAGTTTGCAAACCACTGCTATAGAGCAGCTAAATGAAATACCTTATGCTAGACATTCTACATATGTGACTTTATCTCTTTAAGAGCTGAGTTGGCAGATGAGGAAAGTATTTTTTATAAAATGTCAGTACCCATATGCATAAAACTAATTATTAAAAGAGTTGGGGTTGAAACCCAGTCTGTGGTACTCAGAAGCCCATGCACTGTCCCTAGCCCCGCTCCAGCCATTCATCCATTGTCTTAGGGTCTTGGCTTTTGGCTTTTTTGCTCTATGACTCAACTCATAAAGGAAGCATAGAGAACTAAGGAAATATATGAACACTTGACTCAGGTGGCCTGGGCTGAAACCCCAGATCTAGCTGTGTGGCCCCATGTATGGGACTTACTTTTAGCTCACTCTCTCATCTGTAAAATGGTGGAAAATATAGTTACCACTTCATAGGAGTATTATGATAATTGAACAAGTAAATTCATTCAAAACACAACACTAAGCCTTCTGTATAAGAACTGCTCAGTAACTGTCAGTTCATGTTTTCAACTACTAGCAAAAACCAAAGATAAACATCTAGAAGCTTGTTGATAGCATGTGTTCCCTAATCAATAGAAACAAAAACCATGCAGATGAATAAAATCCAGTATTGAAATAATTCTGAGCATATCACCGCACCCCACAGTCATTTCATACCAAAATACGGCATTTACTGTGTTAACATAGCTAATAGGAAATGACGGCTTGGCTTAAAATATCACAGTCTATTCTGCAAAATCCAGCCATTCTGATTTTTCTACCTTAAGCAAGAGAAGTTCAAAATTTAAGTTGATCAGAAGGGAGGAAAATGCTACAGCATGACACAAAGGCAAACATATGCAAAAACTTACCACTTTTGTCTTCCAGATTAACTTCTATTTTATGATTAATAACAGCAGCTTCTGCAAGAAATGAGAGCACTATTAATAAATTATTCATAACCATTATTTGACTGTCTGGATAGATAGATGCATAGATGATAGATAGACAATAGATAGATAGATAGATAGATAGATAGATAGATAGATAATAGAATCTACCAACAGAGAAGAGCCATTAAAAATATGAGCCCCATAAATCCAGGAATAGTTGCCTAGACTCTATGCAATTCAGTAGACCTACTATTGATACATATACTTTGTTCCTGCAGGTGAAGATGTTGAAATGAAGGGTACATTTTAACTTTTGAATCCTACCTGGAGGCTATGACCCAAGACTACCTGTTTTTCTCCTGCACTCATTGCTCCTAGCACAGTGCCTGCCACAAAGTAACTGTTCCATAAGTACTGTTGAATGGGAAAAAATGAACAGAAAAAGGAGCTGCTCTACAAGTCCTCAGCACACACTGCTGGCACGAACAGTTGCTACAAAGAAACTTGCTTAATTGTACAATAGAACCCACAACAGAATCTCACATGTTTGAAGGAGTCTGGTGTAGACAAATATCCCATTGAAGAAGCCATGCCTTTCCAAATCATGCATTTCCCCAATATGCCCCGCTCACCCACATAATTTTCTGCAGTTGTGTTTGTGGACATGACAATGATATTAATAAAAGCTAATGTCTTTGAAGTGATCATTACTGTTTGAAGCTGTGTGACACAGCGCATGGCCAATGCTTCACAGGCATTATCTCACTTAACCCCCCAGGAACACGAGTTGTATTTTGGAGAGCCCCATGTCACCGACGAGGACTGGGGTGTAGAGAGCACTAGTGACTTGTTGAGAGGCACACCAGTGACTAGCAGAGCCAACATCTACCATCTCTACCAACAAGAACAAGACAGTGTAGAATCCAGCTTGCAGGCCAAGTCAACCAACAACCTCTGCTAAATTCACTTAGAGCACTCCAAAATATTCAAAACTAAGGTTGTGTTTTTAATGAGTGAGTCCCCTGAGAAGAAAATATTTGTGGTAATTAACTTTTAGCATCTCTTCACCCTCACCACATATCTAATTAATAATAGCCAATATTCATTAACCACTACACAAGTGCCAAACACTCTGAGTTCTTTGTATGCAAAGCATTAATCTTACATATTTTTACAACAACCTATGAGATTATTATTTTAATTCCTGCTTTACAAATAAATGGGGAGAGATAAGTAATTTGCCTGATACCATGCATTTAATAAGTACCAGAAGATGCATTTCAATCTCAGCAACATGAATTTACAGGTCACATTCTTACTCTGTAATTCTGCATCTCCAGGTGCAATTAATAATACTCCAAATATCAAAGGATTAAACATGAGTATAAAGTTGAGTTGCTGATTTGGAAGTATCTGAAGCATTACATGTGCATGCAGTATGATTCCTACTAAGGGTACAATCCATGAAAATTTGGTAGCGTTCACAGTGGGGTGAGTGTGAGGTTTCAGTAGAGGGCATTATGTTAACTGGAAGAACGTGGTTAATGCAAATTCTCTGCAACTTTAAGAGGTGATGGCTCACCTGTCTTTCCTGAAAGTTTCTTATTGGGGCTATGATACTATAGACCCTATAGTTTGGTTGGCAAACTGTGGCTCGTGAGCCACATGTGGCTCTTTGGTCCCTTGTGTGTGGCTCTTCCACAAAATACCACGGCCTGAGTGAGTCTATTTTGAAGAAGTGGCGTTAGAAGAAGTTTAAGTTTGAAAAATTTGCCTCTCAAAAGAAATTTTCAATCATTGTGCTGCTGATATTTAGCTCTGTTGACTAATGAGTTTGCAAACCACTGCTATAGGGCAGCTAAATGAAATACCTTATGTTAGACATTCTACATATGTGACTTTATCTCTTTAAGAGCTGAGTTGGCAGATGAGGAAAGTATTTTTTATAAAATGTCAGTACCCATATGCATAAAACTAATTATTAAAAGAGTTGGGGTTGAAACCCAGTCTGTGGTACTCAGAAGCCCATGCACTGTCCCTAGCCCCGCTCCAGCCATTCATCCATTGTCTTAGGGTCTTGGCTTTTGGCTTTTTTGCTCTATGACTCAACTCATAAAGGAAGCATAGAGAACTAAGGAAATATATGAACACTTGACTCAGGTGGCCTGGGCTGAAACCCCAGATCTAGCTGTGTGGCCCCATGTATGGGACTTACTTTTAGCTCACTCTCTCATCTGTAAAATGGTGGAAAATATAGTTACCACTTCATAGGAGTATTATGATAATTGAACAAGTAAATTCATTCAAAACACAACACTAAGCCTTCTGTATAAGAACTGCTCAGTAACTGTCAGTTCATGTTTTCAACTACTAGCAAAAACCAAAGATAAACATCTAGAAGCTTGTTGATAGCATGTGTTCCCTAATCAATAGAAACAAAAGCCATGCAGATGAATAAAATCCAGTATTGAAATAATTCTGAGCATATCACCGCACCCCACAGTCATTTCATACCAAAATACGGCATTTACTGTGTTAACATAGCTAATAGGAAATGACGGCTTGGCTTAAAATATCACAGTCTATTCTGCAAAATCCAGCCATTCTGATTTTTCTACCTTAAGCAAGAGAAGTTCAAAATTTAAGTTGATCAGAAGGGAGGAAAATGCTACAGCATGACACAAAGGCAAACATATGCAAAAACTTACCACTTTTGTCTTCCAGATTAACTTCTATTTTATGATTAATAACAGCAGCTTCTGCAAGAAATGAGAGCACTATTAATAAATTATTCATAACCATTATTTGACTGTCTGGATAGATAGATACATAGATGATAGATAGACAATAGATAGATAGATAGATAGATAGATAGATAATAGAATCTACCAACAGAAAAGAGCCATTAAAAATATGAGCCCCATAAATCCAGGAATAGTTGCCTAGACTCTATGCAATTCAGTAGACCTACTATTGATACATATACTTTGTTCCTGCAGGTGAAGATGTTGAAATGAAGGGTACATTTTAACTTTTGAATCCTACCTGGAGGCTATGACCCAAGACTACCTGTTTTTCTCCTGCACTCATTGCTCCTAGCACAGTGCCTGCCACAAAGTAACTGTTCCATAAGTACTGTTGAATGGGAAAAAATGAACAGAAAAAGGAGCTGCTCTACAAGTCCTCAGCACACACTGCTGGCACGAACAGTTGCTACAAAGAAACTTGCTTAATTGTACAATAGAACCCACAACAGAATCTCACATGTTTGAAGGAGTCTGGTGTAGACAAATATCCCATTGAAGAAGCCATGCCTTTCCAAATCATGCATTTCCCCAATATGCCCCGCTCACCCACATAATTTTCTGCAGTTGTGTTTGTGGACATGACAATGATATTAATAAAAGCTAATGTCTTTGAAGTGATCATTACTGTTTGAAGCTGTGTGACACAGCGCATGGCCAATGCTTCACAGGCATTATCTCACTTAACCCCCCAGGAACACTGGAGCGAGTTGTATTTTGGAGGGCCCCATGTCACCGACGAGGACTGGGGTGTAGAGAGCATTAGTGACTTGCTGAGAGGCACACCAGTGACTAGCAGAGCCAGCATTCAAAGGACTGTTGCGGGAGATTAAATGGGAGAGAACATGTGGAAAGTACTCTTTGAAAATAAACCATAGAAATGGAAAATAATCTATAGAGAAACAATGTACGTCCACCATTGTAGACACTAAAACATCTCTTCCAGGTGTCTTAGTTATGCTTAGCAAATTACCTTTTTACTACGGGAGCTTGGCATTTCAGGGCAATTCTTCTCAGATAAACCAAGTCACACTTATAGTTAGGTGGATATATAAAACCTGAGGTGAGAGTTGTATTTATCTACAATGTTTTTGTTTGTTTTTTTTAAAGGCAGATATACATACAAAGAAGAAATTTCTTAAAAAGAGCATTGACCATTGGGTGAGAAAAGTAGTTGCAATGGTTGCTTTGGCTTATCCTTTTTCTACTAGATACATTCTTGTCCATATGGATGTGGTTCTGGTATGCATTTCTATGCACTCAATGAGGTCTTTCTTTGCTGGGGTCTTAAAAAAAAAACACACCAAACTGGCTCTGAGGTACAGACTTCGGGGCAAACCCCAAGATTAAAAATGTTAGTATAATCATGTTTAGATGTTAAAATATTCCCCAAGGCCTCACTTTACTATGTCTCAAATGTCCCTTTATCTTCCTTGCAGTGACTTTATTCATTAAAAATAAATAAAAATCTCTTAGCACCAAGCACTGATTGAGGTAAAAACAAGAAAGTAACAATTTTTCATCATAAAATCCATATGTGTATCCTAATTCTCTTTCCTAATCTGGCAGAAAACTTGGACCAGATTAGTTTTCTCTCCCTTCAAAATCACTTCAGTGATTTGTGCTTCTATGTAATATTTTTAGAATAAAAAAACGACACACAAAAATCTTCCAAGAAACAGCATGAGAAATTTGCCATAGAATGATATTAACAGAAACACCCTCGTTAGTTTTGCTGCCATGAGACGGCCAAGGGAGACATTTGTTTCAGAAATTAGATGCCAAGTAAAACACCTGGTAATGGAACCTTCTCTCCTTTATGGTAGTCATCTCTGGTCACTGGAAAAATAAAAACCTAATAGGACATTGAAGTTCAGTGATTGTATTAAACTTGTGCTTTGCCTATTTGCTTCTTCTCTGTTTTGTAACCACAGAAATAGGAAAACTTAGGGCTATTTTGTCAATCTTAACCTAGTTTTAGGAAAGGACATATAAATACACAGATATGAATAAATACATTCATGTTATATTTTTGAAAGCAAGCATTTCACAGACATTATTTCATTTGTCTTTCATTACAGCCCCAGAAGGAAGTGTTTCAACCTGATTTGATCTTTGGGGAAACTCAGATCTAAGATAAAGACTGGTACACAGCAAAGGTCTTAGCACATCTGACATCCTCTTTTCCCAGTGCTTAACAAGGGCTGGTTAACCACAGGGTAAAGTACCAACTGGTTCCTTCTTATGGGACCTTGTTCTGTTGTGTTAATACTCAGGACTTTAAGTTCTGAGTCTAGGGAGTTCTGGGACCATGGCTGGGGCCAGGGCACATTTGGCCCTCTGCCCACATTGTCTAAATATGTACAGCATCTGAATCAAAGGTACTCTTTGGGACATCATGCCTGAATCCCAGGTGACGCTGCATGTCTAGGAAAAGTCTACATTCTCTTCACTGTGTGCATCCTCCTGGAACAGAGATTCGTTCTAGTGTATTCATCTTTCCCCTCCCAGGCCTGACACGCGCTACCACTGCACTACATGTTTGTTGAGCAGCAAAACCAACGGCAAGAAATATACTCATTATGTAGAATGGAAATATGTTTCTAGGCACTAGCCTCACCAAAATTTACCTGCAGAGGTATGTAAAATGCGAATCTAGGACCGTAATAACACTGCAGGGCTAAATTATCCTATTTTTTTGGTGAACCCCAATCCAGTCCCTTCAGAACGACACCAATAGTTGCTTAAGATTCATTGTTATGGGTATAGCAAGTATAGCAAGACTCAGGCATGAGTGACTTTGCTTGCTGAGCAGAAAATTCCTGAAAGATGTATGCTTATTCTCATTTCCTGGCCAAGTAAGATAATCAAAAGTGGAATCTCTTTTTGAGCATTTCTTGTGTGCTAAATTGCTGGTGCTGTCATGTAGGTTGTTTCATCAACAACCCTAAAAAAATCATGAGGCTTTAATTTTGAGTGATAAAACTGAGGCTGAGAAAAGTAAAATTTTTATTTATCTTTTGATGTTCCAAAATGTAAACTATTTTTAATTCTATGGGAAAATATTAGGACATTTATGCAACTATTAAGTGTAGCAACATTTGAGGAACATATATGTATATATAATGATTATTATTGGTAATGCTTAACAGACTCATGGGGCATTCCCTTTGGGGGGGTGGGAAAGTGTTCTGGGAAGACACACACACACACACACACATACCTTTCTTTATTGCAGGAAAAAGAATCTCTTGATCCACCTTATTATGCTCATGTTTGACTATACATCTGTGTTCTTTATGCATTGACTCTTCACTCACGGTCAGCCAGCTGAATTTCATGTAGCTGTCGCCAACCTTCATGGTATTTCCCTGCTGAGATTCCAGAATTGTATCGCCGTCTTTTTCCTTCCAGTATACCTTGATAACATCAGGGAAAAATTTCTCAAGAAGACAAAGATGTGTTCCAGCCTTATGAAGGTTTATTTCAGCAGCTGAAGGACGAAAAATAGTAGGCTTGGGGTAGAACTCGGAACCATAGCTCCTATCTGTGGGGAAAGTGGAATAGCAATGAAGAATTAGAGACACACAAACACTGTGTGGTTTGGAACAACCTAGCCTATAGTGAAAGAAAGGAAAGCTGCCACTGAATCAGTGCTTTGAATGGCCTCTCATCCACAATATACCAGTAGTGTGGCTACTTATTATTGTTCTTATTTTCAGACGTGAAAAGAGGGTTCATAACTCGCCCAATGTCACAGCTATTAAATGGCACAGCCTGAATGAAAATTTGGCCTTTGTTCCTTCTCCATGTGCTAAAATGGGATATAATTTTTAACCGCTCCAACATTTGTGAACTTATTTATTCATTTTTAATCTCTCTCATGCTGTCATAGGCGAGGAAGGCGGGGATAGGGGAGTAGGGGAAGAGATAATCTCTCTTCAGATGAGAATTCTTAGTGGCTTCTAAAGTGCAAATAAGCAAAAACCAAAATGGACACAGATAACACTATGGTGACTGCCTGAGGGCAAGGGGCTAGGGGAGGCAGAAGAAGAAGGTACAGGGAGGATAAATGGGGACGGGAGGGAACTTGCCTGGGTGGTGAAGGCACGATGTAATATACAGATGATGTGTTACAGAATTGTACACTTGAAACCTGTATAATCTTATTAACCAATGTCACCCCAATAAGTTCAATAAAAATTTAAAAATAAAATAAAAAGTAAGGTACTTTCCTTCCCACATTATGACTTTTGTAATGTAAGCTCTTTTTGGCTACACAGACTCCTGTTCTGTAACTCTGTGGGAACTCACTCTCTATTAACTGATCTTGAAATATGCCAAATTATGTTATTTTTATAAAAATAAATGCCAGAGGAAGTTTTTCATGTCTTTCTAAACAGTACATAGTTACTTGTTTTAATAGGAGTCTACTACCAGGTGTACTTTCTTTATCCAGTTCTTCTACCTTCCAATATGGACCCCATGCCCAGTTCTGAAGTACTAGAGTTCTCCCCATAGGTTTCACACCTGAACCACTCCAGATATTTTAGGGCAGTATTGAAAACTGCACCGCCAAATTGTTTATGATGCCTTGAATTTAGGAGCAAAATAGCAACAATTCCAAAATTTCTATTAAAATTTTCATTGATCATTTTCAGAAACACTTATCTTAATCTAGCGAGTAAATACCCTTAGCAGAATTTCATTTTGCCATTGAAAAGATTTACCAAAAGCACATTTTATTTTGGAATTTCATTTGAAGTTTAAACATGACTATTATAACCATATTTTAAATACACCATATTTTGACTCTGAGTATTGCTCATGAAATTTTTGTTTACCCTATAAGGCTACTGAGCTATTTTAGAGCTCCATAATTTTTTGTTTTTTGTTTTCATGTGCTGAGTAAAATTTATATATAATTGGGATAATGTTAAGAGCTATGGTTCTAGAGTTTCTTGCAGAATATGTAACAAAACATCATATATTTACAAGGCATGCCACATGCATGCTGGAATGTTACTACTAGATTATATATTTATTATTAATCTAATGATTGAAATTATAAATGTTAAAAACCTTTTCAATTTTATTTCTGATTAAAACACACATTCCTTACTATATTCTTTTTGGACTAGCTTAGAGTTAGTTTAATAAGTCAATGGGCAAATTTTTAAGAAAAATGAATTGAATTTGTCATTTGAGAAGGAAAGGAAAAAAGTTTTTGAGACTTCCTATCTGTGAAGCAAAGCTCCTGATTTTTATACTATATCAGTAAGAAAAGAATGTTGGGTTTATAAATCATGTTGTAAACACAATTAAGTCAAAATATGCTTTTTAAATTTTATATATTGTATCTTACTTTTAGTGCAATTATATTTTATATATTATAGTAGTAAGACATTCTATATTTCTCCAACCATATATTTTATTTTTAACTTAAAAACCATCCTATATAAAATAATGTTAATTTTTAAATTTTACATTATATTTATATAATTTGAGTCTCTAGTCAACATATTAAAGAATCTAATTTTCATCTTAGAAACTTTTTCTTCATAGTCATACTTCTGGTTCATTATATTAAAGACATAGAAAAACAAATGACAAACTGGACGCACTTTTGTGGGGAAATACACTATTTTTATTGCCTGTCCCGTTTCCTTAGCTAGATTCTTTGCATCATTCTTTTCAAGATAAAATCAATCTTGAACTTCCATACCTTTTTTAATGTAATAGTTAGCTGAGTATTATATAGTATACTTGATTGTATGTGGTTAGTACCTATATGCTGGGTAATTATATTACATGTTTTTTTCTTTAAACATTCTTTGTAAAATTTACATTTTTATGCTCAAAATCTTGTTCATGATGTATATAATAGAAATCAGTTCACAAAATAAAAAAGCCCTCCCTCAAAAAAAAGATAAAACAAGGTTTATCCTGCTGAAGTAACATTTTTAAAAAATGGGAGTTTACTTATATTACTTTGTCAACAATAATAGAAATGAAATGCAAAAGATCATCCAGAAAAATCTATAATAATAAAAGTGTAATATGCTCATTAGACCAGCTGTCCTGATGACCTTCTGGAGGAAGCTGGGCTGTGAGGGAAGCCGGGGTCCCAGGTGCCCGAGGGAAGCGGTACTGGCAGTCGGGGGAAGGAAAGCCTTTTCTTGCACAAATTTCGTGCATCGGGCCTCGTAAATAAATGAATAAATAAGCCTTCCAATACATAGATGTAGTTACTTGCATAACCAAATAATATGTCTGAGTTAAATTGCCCAAGTTGTTTATATTTATTAAGATGCAGCAATATTATGTAAATTTATCAAATTCTAGGTAAAAGTCAACTATATTTTCAATTGAAAGCATAATATTTCAAACCTACATTGATATTAAATGTTCTCTATTTTTCTTTTATCAAATACATAGTTATAGCTATTTTATGGTTATATCTGAATTTCAAGCTTATGAAGTTTCTAATTATATTTAATTGACTTTACATATTGACCATTTTCTGTATGAATTTAAACTCTTGATTAATAAGAGCATGAAGCTGAAACTTATTGGCTATAAATTTTAGGGCCAATAATTGTTGGTATTAGAAATAATATCAATAAAGATAAAGGATTAAGATTTTAAGCACATAGGCCAATAATAAAAATTAAAAACAAACACATGTTAATCTCATTTTTCTTGCCAAGTAAGGAAAAAGTTACAGTAAAAAGAATACCTCCAAATTAATTTTTTTATAAGTATTATAGTTAGAAACACAGCTTAATTCTCTGAGGAATTTCTGCTCTGTCAATATTACTGCTGCAAACACCTCTTCATACTGGATACAATTTTCCTTTACATTTGAACTGGAGGACACTATTCAGCACCTATTCTATGTTAGACAATGTGCAAGTACTTCATTCACACCATCTCAGTCAATTCTCATACAAATCTTCTATACATACTTATCCCACTTTATGAGTTAAAAAAAAACTGAGGCCAGCGTAATTCCCATCACATTCCTGTTCTTTCTAGATATTCTTACTGTTATTCCAATTTCATTGTTTCTTGCCCAAGGTCATATAAGCAGTAAGTGATGGAGTTGGAGCTCCATGTCATCCCGACCCCATTGCCCTGGCTCTTCCACAATACCCTTCTACCATCAGAATAGGAAATGTGTCAACTCACAAAACTGACCTAATAATAAACCTTATCCCCAGGGCCAAACACTTCCATGATAATCACATACATTATACATGAGTCCTTTGTGCGAGTCCACATGTGCCCAAAAACCAAGTCTTGTTATGATATTTGCCTTTGAGGATTTGTTTTACAATCTCACCTAAGATTTCTGTATCTAATTCCCATCACATTCCTGTTCTTTCTAGATATTCTTAGTGTTATTCCAATTTCATTGTTTCTTGCCTCCCTCTATTATCTTAAGAAGTTGCATTCTGACACCTACCCGTGACAATAAGTTTTGTTCCATCGCCGAAGACTTTTCTATAATAATTCCACAGTGATTCAACCACTATCAAAAACTTTAGGCTAATTTAGCTTCTCTGAGTTTTTCAAACGCTAGTGGAACTAGGACAGCCTGCAATTCAAGAGATCAGTGTTCTGGTCCTGGTTCATTTTACTCATAACAAGGTCTGTGTCTAAGCAAACAAAGTCAATTCAAGTTTTTGATGCTTTATTGATCTGAAAACAATGATGCTAGTGCAAATCAATTTGACATCACTGCTTGTGTCCAAGTGAGACCAAAGCGAAACAAGATTTGAAAAACAATTTGATTTAAAATGCTATGGAAATAAGTAATTATAATAATTATTAGCCATTTTATTGTGATGGCTTTGTGCTCCAACCTGACTTTTTAACTTCATGGGACCAAACCTTGCCCTAATGAAGAGGAATTCAGCACTTTGAGGTGGCAGCTAAGTCCTTGGCAATGCATCCCACTTTGCTCTAATATGTCTGGAATTCTCAAAGCCACCATCATCAGAAGTGTGCCTTTCACACGCTTAATTAATGAACTAATTTGTCTAGTCTGATCTGCATTTCCAGTGTTAAGAAAATCAGAGGGAACACTAGCTACAGCCTAATAATATGAGGTCAGTATGGGAGCTGTTGCATTTGTGTTGTCCAAAACAAATGGCTCTTTCCCCAGGTAACCAATAGCACTACTAGCATTCCATGCTTTCACCAGAAATTTTCCAGCCTCAAATGGACATCTTTCCATTTCCTGTTGCAAGTTCAGCTTGAAGCTCCTGGTAGTGGGCCTTCAGGCCAGAACCACAAGAGAAATGGCAGGATGGCTGTCCTCAAAGCCTCCACTTGTCCTGTTAGATCACCTGCCTGACCACATCTGCTGAGGGTCACGTCCGTGAAAAAAGCAACTGCTCTAAAGTCCATGGCATTGAGGCAGTGGTAGCATCAAAAGGGTGTGTCAAAGACCATTTCTTCCATTTTATAAAATGAATGTCCTAGACAATATTCACTTTGATTTCCCTTTCATCCTAAGGGACTCGTGCATTGAAAATGTCATAATGTTATAGTGGGAAGCACATGTTTGAAAATTTGAAGTGCTTCATTTTATTAATTAACAACGTATATACTCTACTTCAGTTTTTTTCTTTTTTAAAAATTCACTTTTTAAAAATTGAGATATAACTGACGTGCCTCTCCTACCTTACCCAGTCCTCTTGCTGGATAAATTACAGGCCATTTTCTTCTGCTTTCTTTAATGATTTTGATCTTCTATTTTTATTTCTGGTCTGGCTATAATTTGGGTTTCTGTTTTTTCAAATAGATTTTGGTAATAAGCAGTTTAAGTAACTGACATTATAGCTGGCTTCTTTTTCTGCCCGTGAGGTTGATAGTCTAATCTCTAACTCAAAGATGACACGAGAGATGAAAGAATATGTTTGTGAATTGTAGCTCTGTGATATAGGTGCAAAACATGTGGAATTCAAACAGACTAAAAGTGCCAGAACATAAGGTGAGGTCTTCTTTCCCAAAACTATCCTTCACAGAACAGGGGTTGCTTTGAATTTCAGTCCTTTGTGAAATCTATCATATTAAAAGATTATCTTCTAATACTCTGCTTTGACCAAAAATACTATTTAGATAAGATATCAAACTGAAATAAATTATTTTTTTTAAATTTAAAATACTAGTTTTAGAGCTATCATTGGTTATAGATAACAAAGAGGTTTAACTTTGCACATGTATAGAATAACAGAATAAATGATAAAGTGCTTTTCCTTAATTTCATAAATGGTAATTATCTTTTCAGATTAAATTTCCAGTGACATCATACATAATAAAGGGACCCCAAAATAAACAATAATTTAGAAAGTTGCTCTAAATAGATGGTTTAGATGCATGAGAAGAGTTTGAATAGAATTTTTAATGAAATGTAAGGGCAAAGAAAAATCAGCTGCTATTTATATTGACATAATATGTATTGATATTTCACACCTGGTATTTGTTTTGATATAATTTTTAACTTTGTAGCTATAATCTAAATTAAGACACTAAGTATTATAAGTGGATATTTGACTTTTCTCCATACTACTATAAATTCATACATGAAAATAGCAAGCCCCACCCCTCTCTTACCTCTAGATATTTCTACTGGAAAATGAGGAATCACCTTATATTTAGGTTAATAGTATTTGAGATAATGGTTATTAAATTCTAATCATTTTTCAAGCAGGTAACAATTAGAAATTCAAAGTATTGTGCAAATACTGACCATTTAAAAAAAATGACCTGCAGACTAGATAATATACTTATCTGTATTTCTGATTTTATGATGAGCTCTAATGGGTGGAAATCTGAATTCTGGAGAATTTACATTTTTATCACTGACCATGTCCCAACCTTTGTGGTAGGTTATTTCCATATTTAACTTCATTTAATTCTCACAACAGCTACTTGAAATGCGTATATACAATGAATAAATGGAAATATATAAAAATAGTAACAGTGATGTGTCAACGTTAAATTTTATTTCAAAATTTTTTTATAATTTTGAAAATTTTAAATTACAGTTGACATACAATATTATATTAGTTTCAACTATAACCATAGTGATTAGACATGTATATAACTTACAATCACCCTGATCAATGCAATAACCACCTGATACCATGAATTATTACAGTATTTCTAACTATATTTCCTATGCTATACTCTACATCCCTTTGAAAACCTGTCTATAATTTTTATTAAAAATGTATGGGAGCCAAACAGAGGATACACCTGGGAGCTAGATCTCAGCAGACTGAGAAAAATGCTTTTTTTTTAATTCCTTATTTTATTGTATTTTCCATTTTTTTCCATAATAGGTATATATTATGATTATAAATTTAATAAAACAATAACCACTAAATCAAAATTTATTTGTTAAAGGATATTTATATAGAAAGTGATAGACCCAGAATTAAGTCCATAATTTTCCCTGCCCCATACTCTCCTAAAACGCATTTATTTTAGGACCCTCATGAATTATATGTGTGTCTCCATTATTATTGCTATAATTTATATGGAGTATGGAGTCATTTGGACAAAAGAGACCAGAAAGTTGCTTTTCAATTTATAAATTTATTTGTTCATCTGATCACAACCACTAAGAAAATCAAAATATATACTTTATTTTTCAATGCTTTATCAACTGTAAAAATTCTTTCAAAACCTTCACTTGAATGGATCTAATAGGCTAGAACATCCTTGGGAAATGTTCTCCCTCGTTCAGGCAAGGTTTCATTTGTAAGGCTACTGATGAACGAACAAATTTATTGGACTGAATTTCACAAAAGCAAATCCAGTGTATGACCTTGCATATGATCACATAGTCAAATATTTTGATATTAACCATCCTCTGGCCAAATGACAAATGTAGCAATTTAAAAAAACAAACAAACAAACAAAAACTTCCGTTGGTTATCTTTGGTATCAGATAAATAGATTCTATAAACTTCTTTAAAAATCTTTCAACATAAAAATACCAAGTGGACCTAACATCTCCACTCCTTAGGGAACCTCAGTCGTTACTCCTTATTACTGTCCTCCATGCTAGGTCAGGAGACGATTGCCTTCAAACACCTGGATAAAGTCATTAAGCTTTCTCGAGATCACCACGATAGGTGACCAAATGGGGACTGAATCCAACAATCCTGAGCCCGCAGCATCACCTAGCCCTCAGCACCTGCACTACCTGCTATTTGTCGCTGAAAGACTGTGCCTTTGGACTCATAACACCTACAGTTGCCAGGGCACTGGCCATACATTCTGGGTTGCTTATCAGATGACCTAATTGGGCTTGGCATTTCTGTAGCTGTCCCATTATGAGTGGAAAGGTGGCCTGAATTATGCAATTTAGTGCAACTGCTTTAGTTCTTTTACTGGCTACACTATTTCTAGCAAACTTGATGCCAATACAGAAAGAAAATTGAGTGAATGGTATCAAAATGACTTGTCATTTTATAGAAAGAATCATATCTTAAGTATTTAATTAATGCCTTTCAACATGGCCTACTTGATCTTTCTGGAGGGAGAGAGGGGTGCTGTGATTAGAAGCAGAAGCATTGTTTTCACACAAGAATAGTAATACAGACTATGAGGTATTGCTAGTAAGTAGTCAATTAAAAGTCCATTTCAAAGGTCAGACTATAGAAGAATAAATATTCAGAAGACAAAAAAAAACACACCACTTAATGTTTCCAATGTCACATAATGGTCCAGATCATGCACTTTGGAATAGACAAATCTCTATTGGACTCTAAACTTTGCGATAGTAACTAGCCGTATGACTTGAGGCAAATAACTGAACTACCTTAAGCCTCAGTCTCCTTATCTGTGAAATGGGAATAAGAGGATCTCTGGTCCAGAACTACTGAGGAATGAGATAAGGCACTGAAACTATTAACGTGGTGCCTGGCCCTCAATACAAATATTAGCTGATATCATTCTCTTTAATGGACGGAATGCATGCATTTTATAACTAATAACACTTACATAAATAATGGAAAACAACTCATGAACCCAAGATCATCTTCCTCTGTGATGGCCATAGGCCAAAGAACAGGCGGCCCAATCAAGCCGGAATCTAGAACACGTATCTACTAGAATGGAAGCTTTGTGAGTGTTGGAGCAATGTCCTCTTCATTGTTTTATCTCCAGGATTCATTCAGCACAGAAACTCTCTCCTATAGATGTTCGTTGAGACAACGAACAAACAAATGAGGGCATAAAACCATGCAGACTTTTTTCATAGACTTTGGAGCTGCAATGGCATATTGAGCTTATAATTCATTAAACTGGTCCATCTCTGGGCAATATAACAAGCCTCGTGGTAGCATAAATTGTAATGTTCTTCACTCATTCACTGTAAAAATTAGGTTTTTGAGCTGTGGTTAGGCGTAAAAACTGATAATATAGGTTTATCAGATTATTTAGAGAATGGTGCAATATATTTCATCTCAACATAGAGAAGATATAATGAATAAAAGTGTCTCTCAATAAAAAAAAAAATACCTTCTCCAAGAAAAGTATCTTAAACCAATCATTTATACCAATGATTTACAGACATGGTGCTCAAAATGTTTTCATTTCTAGCCTCAATCTACCCTTTTGTTGTATGTGTATTCTAAGAATAGAATTTCAATCTGTTTACAAGCAGGGAAGTAATAAACCATTTATAATGTAGTTCTGTTTCCATATACAGTGACCAGTAGCTGCAAAATTGCTCTTCATATGCTGAGGCTGAGAATGTGGCAGTCAGATTGAGGTGATCCTATGTTGTTTTTATTTAAATAGCATCTACCAGTTTTTAAAAATAGAAAAAAGTTACTTACCACCGGGAATTACTATGAGTTGAGTCCCTTCCGCAAATATCTTGATCCAGCCTGAGCTAACACACTGGTTATGGCTCCTACAAAAATCTCGCCATGCTCTTAAGCATGACGTGACCAGCATTGAAAAAAAAAAAAAAAAAAAAAAAAGGCAATTTGATCTTTAAGGAAGTCCTTACACACAGGCTTTGTGGCATCTGTAAGTTTCCTCCGATGAATTGAACCAGATGTCTGCTTTCCATGAAGGCACTAATCATTGAAAAGGACTGGTAGAAAATGAAAAGAATAAGAGCAGAAAAAGGAAAGATCAAGCCCAACTGGTCAGCCAACTACTTCTCTAAATTACCAGGAAAAGTATTCAGAGAATGAAGGCTTTCACATTTCCAGGTGTTCGATTGTATGAAGCTGCTCAGAGGTTGCATGAAAGGGAAGGCCATTCCTTCTGCTCACACCCACCAGGGCTGCCCCTCTAGCAGTTGGAATGTGTCTCTGAAAGGAGGAAAGGCTTCAGTCACTAAAAATGCAAATCCACCAACACAAATACACCTGAGAAATGTGAACAAAATTCTCCATTTTTAATGAAGCCACTTTTATTATTTGACAGTGTGATTCTTCACCAGGAAATGTAGAGTAAGAAATTAATTTCTGTCATGACATTCCTTTTCCTGGAGTAAAAGAATAAATTTATAGAATTCCAGCTCCTATAAAATAGGTTTCTTATTTAAATTAACATTTAAGAGCAAAATCTAGCTGTGGCTTGTTTTTCTCAGTGGATAGAGCGTCGGTCCACAGACTGAAGGGTCCTGGGTTCAATTCTGGTCAGGGGCACAGTCCCAGGCAACTAATCTATGTGTCTCTCTCACATCGATGTTTCTCTCTCTCTGTCTCTCCCTCTTCCCTTCCACTCTCTAAAAATCAATGGAAAAATATCCCCCTCAGATGAGGATTAACAGATAAACAAACAAATCTAGTTCAATGATACGTATGTTGAAAGAAGAACCCTCTTTGGAGTTGTCCTATATTCTCATGCCACTTGCCTTGGATCAGGGGGAAAAAATCATCAGAAGCAGCTGAGTGCTTCTCTGAGTACAGCTGAGTTGTCTTTCTGCCAGGACCCACAGAGGACATGTCCCGATGACTCCCTTGTGCATGTTGGATCCAGGTCGGGGCCTAAATCCCATGAGCAAACACTGTCTCTGAGCCTGAGAATGAACTATTGAGGTGGTCATTGGTGGGCCAATTGTCCATTCACAGTACCCAACACACTGAGAGAGGGTCAACAATAAAACAAAAACAACAGAAAAATAAAATTATGTTGTAAAGTGTGTGTTTTTTTAACAAGTATGCCAAGTTATTATAACTGAGAACGGTCAAATACCTTTTGCACCAGTTGTAGGTGTAAATGATACTCACTCAGTTCCTTTCTAATAGCTTGTCCTCTTTTTTCCCTTATTCCAAAACTATGAGCAAAATTATGTGGAGCTTTAATAGTTGTCTATATTTCATGATCCAGGACGAATTTGTGATTAAATAAATACAAAAGAGTAAGTAAAGAGTTATAAAATCTTTTATTAAATTTATAAGAAAATATAAGAACTATATGAAGAAAACAGTAAAAGATTTTACTAAAGGACTAAAATAAAAACTGAATAAATGATAGATACACCATATTCATGAAGATAAAACTCAATGTCATAAATATGCTAATCCTTCTTAAATTCATATATATAAATTGACTGCATTATCAATTAAAATTATGAAAACATTTTATTTTTTGTTCTATGGGTGTAGAGTTGGGTGTGGGCAAGATAACTTACTTTAAATGTTAATATTAAGAATAAATAAGAGATAATTGAAAAATAACTTTTTGAAAAATATTAGTGAATTGACATTTGGCATAATAGAACTTAACATTTATTACAAAGCTACTTATATAATAATGGTGTAAGAATAATGAAACAAAATAAAACATAAATCCTTCAGGAAATCCTCCAAATATATGCCAATATGAATATATGATATGGAATTTTTAAATATGATAGACAATTTAAAAATTGACTTAGCTATTAGTGATCTGCTGTGAAAGCAAAAATAGCTCTCTACTTCATAAAATAGGTCCCAAGTATATTATAATATTTATTGATTAATTTATTTTATTATTGACACCATTACAGATGTCCTCATCCCCCACACTTACCCACCTCCATCCAAACCCCTCTCCACTTCCCTTTAGCCCTCACCACACAATTGTCTGTGTCTATGGGTTATGCATATATGTTCTTTGGCTAATTCTTTCACTTTCTTTCCCCTCTCCCACTACTCCCACTTCTACCTCCACTGGGAGCTATCATTCTGTTCCATGTATTCATGCCACTGTTTCTATTTTGTTCATTGGCTTATTTTGTTCATAGATACCATATATAAGTGAGATCACCTGTCTTTCTCTGACTGGTTCATGTTACTTAGTATAATAGTCTCTCCAGGTCCATCCATGATGTCGCAAGAGGAAAGATTTCCTTCTTTTTTATGACTGCCTGGTATTCCACTGTGTAAATGTACCACTGTGTTGTTGTTTTTTTAATCCACTCATCTATGACAGACACTTGGGCTCTTCCAGACCTTGGCAATTGTATATAATGTTGCAATGAACATAGGGCTGTATAGATACTTTCCAACTGGTGTGTCAGTATTCTTATGCTACATTGCCAGTAGTATTGCTGTGTCAGAAAGGAGTTCGGTGATTAAAATTTTGAGAAAACTCCATATGGTTTTCCACAGTGGCTGCACCAATCTGCATTCCCCCCAACACTACATGAGAGCTCCCTTTTCTCAGCACCCTTGCCAGCATTTGTTGTTTGTTGATTTATTAATGGTAGCCATTTTTAGAATTGGTGATAATATAAAAGACATTATGAACAACTATATGCTGGTTATCCCACATGTGTAAGCTACGGGAAAAATAGTTTTTAAACTTGTGTTAAGTTAGAGAGAAAGGAGTGGGAGTGCTCTGCACTGGACCTAAGAGTTTTGGTTGGGCACTCTGTGTGGGCAGCCAATTCTAGTCTCAGGTGGTGCCTCATGGGGTTGGTTGGTTGGGTTTGTGACTTACTTTCTGGCCCAGGATCACCTGTGTCTTTTGTTTTTTGTTTTTTCAGATCTCATATTATGAAAATGCCTAAAGAATACATAGGTTTCCTCATTTATTTTCCTCTCATTACCAGAGGAAACAAAATATGTGAAAAAACCAAGAAACACCAGCTGCTTGACAAAATATCCTTGCCATGTGTTCATTGACACAATACACTTTTGTCCTTTACTGAGAAAGGAATGTTTGGGGAGAAAAAAATACTACAAATAGGGGAAAGGGATAGGGAAGTGAGATTGGAATCAATAATTTTGTTCTGGATACTTATTAGACATCCAAGGAGAAAAGTTTTCAGCTGCAATGTAAGAGGATAGCTTGTTGTTACTACTGTTGTTATTATTTTCAAGGTGTGGCTGTTGACACCTTGGGCATGAAAATGTCCTGCGTTATTCTAACAATGAGGATAGCAAGTCAGGGCTATCAAATTAGGAACCCAGGGCATGACCATGAACTTAGGATAGGTGTCAGGCCTCAGAGTGAAAAGCAGGGAATTTGAACCTTGGTTCAACATGTTGTTCTGTAACTGGTGAAGATTTACAAATACACTAATGACAAACCAAGCTCCGCTTCCCACATACCCATATATTTGATGTGCACTCCAGGGAGACTTCCTAATTATTGGGAATTTCAGAGCTAATAAGAAATGAAGGAGAGTAAGTAACCACAGGGGAAAAAGCATGGAGACAGAAGGAATTTGGAGTCTGTCTCCTGCTGACGCTATCCTTTTCAAACTGTGTGAAGTCACATACTTTGCCTTCATATCAGACCTTCCCACGTTCTGGGGAGGTCACATATGAAGGCCTGGTACAGTTGTTAAAGCTTCCTTTGGAAAGAAATACAATTTTGCTAAAAGAAGTTCAACACTGACCATAAGAGAGGCAGGAAAGACCCTTCACTGAACATATGAAAGTGGAGCCCTGGCTCTCTGGTTAACTAGTGCTGGACAAGTTGCTTGCCCTCTCTGAGCCAGCCCCAGCTTCCTCAGTCCAAGTGGGCTTTGTGCTGTCTATGTTCTACGAGCCCTCCCTGTCTCAGTTGTTTATGAACTTACGAGTAGGAGCATTAAACAGTCTGTTGTGGTTACTCAGGTGTCACAGGAGCTGAGGGCCAGTAATAGAGAAGGTTTTCTTACAGGTCCCCGGTGACTCTGTGACATAGTGGGATCCCAGCAGGCACAGTAGTAGATGGCTTCATCGGACTTGGCAACATTATTGATTATCAGGTTAAAGGTACCGTCCATCCTATACGTCTCCATGCGGGGATTGAGCTTGTTGTCCTTGCTGTTCTTGGTTGAGCCATAAAGGATTCGTCTCAAGGGCTCCCCTTTTTTTTGTTGATACCAGTGCACAATGGCATCCTCCAGGGGAATCCCGGACAGCTTGCAGCTTATGTGCACCGTTCTATTTGGTCTTCGGATAAAGGAGAGTTGCTCTTGGGATAGACTCACTTTGGTGTCTCCATCTGAAAAGCAAGGGAGAGAATTCGGAGCACTTGAAAAGTGTTTTTTACCATGCCGGAGATAAAAACAACGAAAAGATAAGAAAGGTGGAAAGTTAACCTACAAACCCAAGCCATAGACACAAGGAAAAACCACAGGGTTGGCATTGCCAGTAACTGGTCAGATTGGACACTCGGAGGGGTGTGAATCAGGACTGTGGATGCAGTGACAACCCTTGTTCTGCGGAGGCAGGCAGGCACGGCGGAGGAAGGTTTGCTTTGGAACCCACGAAAGTCCTTCTCAGTACGATCTGCCACAGTGTTATTTTATCGTGTTCCTGGTATAAAGGAGCTATCAGGTCCCGGAAGACCACATCACAGCACCTGTTTTGTAATAAGTCAATGATAACTTCCTCTTGAGAGCAATTGCCTGCCATTTTTTCCTTGAAGTCTTGTTTCAAATACATCTATTCTGGAGCTCAGTTATAGATTTTCACCATATTTTGTGAGTGTGGGTAGCTTTGTGTGGCTAGCATGAGAATGGGAAGGACACGATCATTACATAATAATAAACTAAAGAGATAATATTCCCACAACTTCACCCAAAAATATGTACATTTTATAGATTAATAGTTTGGCAAATTTTAACAATTACTGTAGATATTACTTTACATACATGATATTACTATACTCTGCTGTGAATGAAGAAAGTTGCTGGAGTGAAAAATATCCCCTTGTTTAGTTTCCTTTCAACTCTTTTCCTACTCACAATTCCTAGCCTTTCAGAATTAAAGCTACACTTTGTTGTTTGGGGGACAATGTAAGATGTCATTTCTAATGAGGTCCTGAGAAGGCTCAGTGAAGTGTTTTAGTGATAATGGGAAAGAACATTGTGATTTGATGAACACAATGTAAAACCTTCATGTATGAAAACTCAGTCAGTCCTCAGCAACCTTATGAGGTGTTGACACTATGCCTACTTAAAACTGGGAAAACAGAATGAACCTGATTCAGTAACTTTCCTGGATCATAAGAACCTGTTTGTAAGACCTGAGCAGAAATTTGAAGCCAAGGTCTATATGTCACTCAAAAGACCTTGTATCTTCCAGCATTTATTCATTCATTCATTCATCCTTTCACTCATTCATTGTCACAGGATTGTGGCTTCCTTTCCAGGAAGCTTCCATAGTTGGTGAAGCAGAGACAATTCAGGTCACTTTAGAAAAGCCAGTGCAGGCCCCAGAGAGGTGAGGATAGGTTATAGTGACATTACTGACAGAAGCATCCCAAAGTGGTCCTTGGGCTCTAGCTCTGACCTTGCTCAGACCCAAGTGCAGGAGAAAGTCCTCAGTGGATAGCAGTTCGGTCCCTCTGGGAGGTGGGAAGGAGGAGGTGTGTGTCTGTACAGATGGGGCAGCCTGGGGGTTTTTGTTCAGCGACAATGGCGTTTCTAGGCAGTGTGCTCCATCCATCCAACTGGCACAGAAATACAGTCCAGCATCTGCCTCCTCAACTCCGTGTATCCTGAGGCTCACCAGCAAATTACTGTGATGCTTTCTTGCTTCATATCTTTCCTCACTAACACCTGGCTCATGGATAACATCGCCATCTGAGGAAATACACAGAATTCGTTTGAGTGTCTGGTCTCGCTTCTGTCGGTACCAATGTGTGTATGAATTCTTCTTTAAGATCCCTTTTATTTGGCATTCAAGAAATGCTGTCGTTCCTCTTCTCTTGGTAATGGAAGTGAGGGCTTGTGTTAGTTGAATGTCTCCGCTTGTGTCTGAAAGGGGGGAAAAAGCAAACATTAGTGAGATTTTTTTTTTGGCATTTATTAAAATAGTATACATTTGTTCTCTGGTAATGATAATCTTGGGACCTTGCAGTTTCTACTTTTTTTTTCCCCCCCTGAAGAATTCAAGGTATGGTGGAAGCTTAGTTTGAATGACCGTGTGGCTTGCTTCCACCTGAGTGGGCTGTTAGACTGTCCAGGCTTTCTATTGCCTCCCTTCGAATGAGTAAGTTGCCCGCTGGGTCAGGTCACTCACAAGTCCAAAGGCAGGTCGTCAGGATGACCTGGGACAGGAGCAGCATCCTGCCAGCCCTTGTTAGCTGAGGCCCTTGAATAATGGAATTGTCACAGAGCCACCCCAAGGGCTATTTAGTAAGAGGAAGTGGCGCTCTGAACACATAGCTTAAACCCATAAACCGCAGGAAAAGGGGTTCGTGGTATTTCCCCGAAACATCCTGTGGAAACAGGCCTGTTAACTGATTTAGCAGCAGATTGCTGTCTCTACTGTGTGATTGTTACCATCGGATGATATCAGTATAAAGAAGCCACCTTTCTGTTATAGGACTAAAGTCTTTCACGGGCCCCAAATGGAGAGGTGGAGAAGGAGCGAGGAAGGAAGGAGGGAGAGAGGTAGAAAAGGATATTTTTGTGGGGTTGTTAGTATTTGTGGTTCCCAAGTGTTCTCTCTCTCCCACTGGTCTGTACTCAGCTCTTGTTATCTGATTACCAATTTAAAGTTTGATCTTCTGACTAGATTAATTGGTGTTTGACAGTTTCTGTCCCAGGTGAGCAAACACTCAGCTCCTGTTTCTTCCTGCAAGTGCCTGTCTGTCTCCAAATTTTGAGTAAGTCACTTGCCCTGCAACCGAGTTCTTTGAAGGGTTAAGCAAAGTCATTGACTTTCAGGAAGTCCCTGTTTTATGTTATATCTCTGGGCACATGCTGGTCCTCCCTCCCATTTTAAAAATTGCATTGCTTTTTAAATTGAGTTGTGAAAGTTCTTTGTCTATTTTGGACACCATTCATTTTTTTAAATATGTGTTTTGAGACTATTTTTTTCCTAATCTGTGGCTTCTCTTTCCATTTTCTTAGCAGTCTTTAAAAAAAAAAAAGAGCAGAAATGTTAATGATGATGAAAGTGCAATATGTTAAATGTTTCTTTGTTTTTCCTGTCCTAAGAAATCTTTGTCTAAACTGTGTCACCATGGGTTTCTCCTGGATTTCCATCTAGAAGTTTTATTGGTTCCAGTTTTACATTTAGTCCTGTGATCCATTTTGAGATCATTTTTATTTATGGTGTTTGGTATGGATTAAGTTTGTGGTTGATTTTTACATAGATGAACAAATGTTCCAGTACTATTCGTTAAAAAGCGTGTCATTCTTGTATTTGTTAAAAACAAGTTAACCACGATGTGTGGGCCTATTTCTGGGTTGTTTTTTCTTGTGATCCTCTCCATGTATCTGTCCTTTCACCAACACCCACTGTCTTGATCACTGTAGCTTAATAGTATGCCTAAGATTTTAATGTTTTTAAAACTGTTTTGACTATTCAATGTCCTTTGTCTCCCCATATATATTTTACTATCAGTTTCTTGATTTCCACAAAAAGTCTTCCAAAGATTTTGATTGGGATTACATTAAATCTTTTTTTTATCAATTTGGGGAAAGTTTGACATCTTTAATATATTGAGTCTTCCAATCCATGAACATGGCACCTCTCTCCATTTATAGAGTAGTTTTTTAACTTCTGTCATCGAAGTTTTGAAGATTTTAGCATATAAATCCTTTACATTTTTGGTTAAATTAATCTGTAAGTATTATATAGGTTGTATATAATACAACCTCGCTCCTTCTCCACCTCTGGTAAACAGTACTATTTTTTTAATTTAAATTTCCAATTTTTAATTGTCAGTACAGCTGATTATTGAAGAACACAGATTTGAACTTCATGGGTCCAACTATATGTGGATTTCCCCCCACCCCATAAATTCAGATGGCTCTCCATATCTGTGGGTTTTATATCTATAGAGTCAACCAATGGCTGGTCAAAACACCATATTTCAACTCAGGGTTGGAAGTTCATGAATGCAGAGGGCCGACTGCATGCACTGTTTCTTTAAATAAGGAACTTGAGTTCTGCAGATTTTGGTATTTTGGTATTTGCAGAAGTTCTTGAAACCAATGCCCCATGGATACTGAGTGCTGACTATAATTTAGTTTATGGGGAGTCAAAAGTTATTCACAGATTTTTGATTGTATAAGTAATCTTCCTTCCTCTGGAGGAGGCGGGTCAGTGGCCCTAGTTCCCATGTTATTCAAGGGTTAACTTATATACAATTACAATTAATTTGCATCTCTCATTCTATTTTACAGCTATATATGCTTCATTATGCATGTGCCATCAATTTTTTTAACCAATTTCCTATGTTTTCATATTTATGTAATTTCCAATATTCTGTAGTTACACAATGACTAACTTCATACATATGTATTTTAATTTTGTTGAAAGTTAAATCTGCAGGGTAATTTTTTTTTTTTTTTTTTTTTGCTAGGTGAACAGGTAAATATATAAATTTTTTTAAAATAGTCACAAATACCCCTATAAAATGGTTATATTTTTTATTTTTATCAGCAGTGTACAGTGGCTATTTTTCCCCATTACTTACCTGACAAAGTATATTAACAAACTTTTAAATTCTTGCCAATCCATGGGTGAGAAATTACATATCTATGCAGTGTTCATTTGCATTTATCTTATTAGAAGTAAAGTTGAGCATCTTTTTATATGCTTAAGAAAACTTTTATATTGCTCTTCATGAATTGGCTTTTTATATCTTTTGCCATTTTTTCATAGGATATTCTTAATCTTTTTTTCTTTATTTTTATATCAGACATAGCAGGCCTTTATCTGCTAAAAAGATTGCAAATATTGTCTGTAGTTTGTGATTTGTCTTTTGATTTAACTTATGTTGCTTTTTACCATGCAACTTTTGCTTTCATTTTCCTACAGTAAGAGTTACCAATAGTTTCTCTTATTGCACCTTGAATTTGAGTTACAAATTGATTCCCTAACCCCATGTTGCACAGTAGAGGCTGGCGGATTTTTTCTGTAGATGGTCTGATGTTCAGATAAATATTTCTGGCTTTGTGAACCTCTGCCACTGTAGCTCAAAAGCAGTTTGTACATGTGTAGGTGTGACTGTATTCCAGGAATGCCAGGACAGATATTCTATTAGAAAATGTCCTTGAAGAAAGAGTTTATTTTTAAAATTTTATTCCTAATATTTCCAAAAAATAAGAAAAAAATAAGTTATTTGTCTTATATTTTGCTGTTGTTTTATATTTTGAAAGTCAAACCAGCCACAGTGTTTATATTTATTGTAGGAAGAAAACACTTAAATTCAGACTTACCTTTAAATAGTAATTACCGGTACTTGTTTCACTGATTATTTTGTGAAGGAGTTTGCTTTCTCCTTAACGCT